TCACGGTTTGCCCTTTCCTCTTTTGCCCTCTATTTTTCCCTTTAGTATGCTCTTTATAAAATCGTCATGTTGTGTAAGGTTGCCCAGCATTTTGCCTCTTTTATTATTGTTTTAATTAATATTCTTTTCGCATCCATCCTTTCCAAGACTACCTTTTTTTTTAGATTTTCTGGCCAGTTTAGCCATTCCATCCTCCTTCATAGCCGCATTTCGAATCCCTCAAGCATCTTTCTTTCCTTTTACGTCATTATTGTATATATGTGTGTATGTATTATATGACGATCTTATAAAAAAATTCCCAAAACATAATAAGAACGGAAGAGATACTAATCAACAATTTTGTGGCATATCGTGAATATGGCCCCTGAATGACGTAGCTAACGAGATAGGTCAACGTACGCATTATGTAGAAACTTCAAACATTACTAAGCTATGAAAAAGAAAGGCACATTTATACCTGTAACTTTCATAAGTAATAACACATAATTGTATGTAGAAAAGCTTTTTTTACGAATATGCTACAAAAAAGGACAGTTTGAAATATTCTCAAGAGACCAGTTGTGGTTACTAGTGCGAAACTTTATATTACCAGAGGACAACTGTGCAAAAGTCCTCTGCTGGGCACTTCTGTTCCACTCGTGCTTCTGTCACCGAGCACCTGTATTTGACACGTGTTTCAGTTTGCGTGGGATATGGCAGTGAAATTACTAGGTACGGAGATATAACACCTTAGTTTTTAAAAATGGACGCAAGAAGACATAGATCGACGTCACAGAACATGGTGTAGATATCGATCCACATTACATCCTGCGACGACGGTTACCATTTTACATCAGATGGGACAAAAGTTGTATAAATAAAATTATTTTAACAGGACTGTTCCAAAAAAGGATTATGTTTTCATGGTTCTTATGTGTATGTACGTGAGTTTCTTTATTCTACCATTACTTCTAAATGCCTGAAAGATTTAGATGTATCCGATATTGTATGATACTGGCAAATATAGCCAATTTTATAATTTTTAAAACATTAGATTGTAAGGTATCATCATATATACCAATGAATATTTAATAATCCTTATATTTTTAATATTACTTAAAATGACAAACAAGCTGACGGTCAGACATGTCGTAATAGAAGGTTTCCTTCTAGAAATCAATTTCATGCATCTTGTAAGGATCTCAATCACCAAAAAGAATTTCACTGACAATCAATTAGTACCAATCAAAATATGATATGAGTGCACAAATGTACAGTATCCTCACGCTAAATAGACAGATAAGACAGATCCGCGAGCTAAAGACATATATATCATACATACATTAGTTCCTATAGTCACTTTTATGAATTAAATTGCATACTAAACATGCATGCAGTAATTTCCCCACAAAAACCACGAACCTACCCTAACACAGCACATTTATCCATAGTGCTACCACAAATTTTCAATGGAAAAGACACTATAACCTCAGGACCTAAATTATGGATAGACCCCCCTCACCCCCAGTGAGTGCATTCACCGTCGGCGAAATAGCGTGTGGCGCCGAACACGATAAACCATCGTCGCAATGGTAACCCCACTTTGTATGCAGTTAGAGACAATAGCAGGACTAAGAATTTCAAACGATACCTCTAGATACTAGTTCTAATTTCTGGTAGATTTCTGGTAACGCATTCTTAATTATACAGTTATTTAGGCTGTATAATAAAGGCCATAAACAAAGCAATTTGTTCCGCGATCAGATTGTACAGTGTAGAGGCAATTTTGTTCTATATAACTTGTAGTGGTAATTAAGGCACCCATATGTACCCTTAACATTTTATTTTTACTAGCTTTTTGTCCGCTAGTTCTTACACATTTATTTTAGTAGTAGGAAAACCAAACAAATAGACCAGTTTTAAATGGGGGGAAAGGGATTGTTAGTAATGGGGTCTAACTGACCCACTGCTAGCGATACTTCCTATCAGGCCGACCTCCACGCGATTCCCCCTGGATGTCATCGTGGTTAATTCTAGTGGAATTCGTCATGATAGGCTAACTGACCTGCTTTCATCGTCATCTATCATCAACCCGCACTGGTGCCCTGTGTAGTGTAGTGGTGTACCGATAGTGCGGGCGGAGATACCATTCCATTATTACCCATTAAAAAAAAGTTTTAAATGGTGTATCAGTATGAAACACCACCAATTTTAAAGTTAGAAATTCAGGAATACAACTGTTAAAACCCGCGTCCAATTTAAAGCAGTAGTTATTGCGTAAATCGAGAATAATGTTGCCTGGAAAAGATCGCTTTTAACAATAAGGTCGCCCATTGTTTTTTCACTGCGATCATTTCTTGTAGTTGTTTGTATCTATAATAAGTTTACAATTATAATCTTTTGGAGAAAACAATAGAGAAGAATATTTACCGTCATAAACATATAGATGGACAACAGACAGATACAACTTCTAAAAAATATTATTTTGGCATCTATGGTACCTATCAAGAAGTCTCATATTAAATTTTCTCCAATATTTTCCTTGTATCATCTTGTACATCATCTAGTTACAAAATTATTATATCAGTAAGATTTTAGACAGCACAATTATTCATTACATATTTTGTACATGCATAAATATATATAGATTGAAACAACTGAATATGTTAGATAGAAACAACTGAAATGCCATATACATCAAATACAAATGGGATTTTGAATACCTGTGATGATGATAATGATGAACATGAAACTAATATGAAAGTTAACTAATAAAAAATTTATCATTTAAAATGTAATAAAATGGTTACCCTACAACAAACATGACCTATCTAACTCTAATACAGCCATTTAATAACATATCTCGCAGTGATACTACACTCTTCTATAATTAGAATTAGACATTCTGCATTGTATATTGTGTTAGGTCTGCATTGAAATACTATCACCAATAGTGTAGTATTACATTATCTGTGTTATCACATATAGTGGCTAACATTTTTCAATAAAATATAATATAGCTGTAAAGTATTTGTGTATTGCACCAACACAACACAAGCCATAACTTCTAGAAAGCCAAATTTTAAAAATTAATTGCACATATAATATAGGCATTCAGTAAATATTAGGTTTTGGATTATTATTATCATAAATTATGCTGTGAATGTTAATATATATTGTGCAAGTTTTAAAAAAAAAATTTACTTAGTATTGCTTAAATAGATTTGAATGAAATTTGGTGCACAGACAGAACACAGATTTGACATGATACAAATAAAAGTGTGAAACAGTTAGCTTATCTATACTAATAAAACAACTACAAATACTAACAAAACAAAGGAAATATTAGATTTTTTTGAGTGTATGTTTATTTATTTTTTATTTTGTTAATTTGTAATGAATTAACTCTAGAACTACTCAATTGATTTAAAAATTCTTTCACCTACATTTTTACATACATACTTTCACATACATAGGCTTTATATAGTTAAAAAAAAAATAAAGATCTCTAATAAGATTACCATAAATTAACACAAAGTATCAAAAATTTACCTCAATAGGTAGATTTTTGGTAACTAATTCAAATTTAACTTTTTAACTTTCACCCCGTGTGAAGCTAGGGTGGATCGCTTGTAATCAATAGTAAATTTTTTTTTGTGTCAACTATATATAAACATTTTTATTTTTTCATTAAAATTAATTTAAATATTTATCAATTCATTCTTCAAAAGTACAATACAGTGCAAAGTATGTAATATACTCAACATACCACATTTTGATTGTTAGTAGTAGTACCAAAAAGCCTCATTTATCATCCTTCTCTGTTCTCCACAACCATAAACAAAATCATTTTGTATATTATATATATAATATGTAATTAAACATTGTGAAAAACTAAACCACAAAAAACTGACTTAAATTGTAACAAATTCAGTTATTTTGGGTTAATTTTGATAAAATTTTTGTGGTACTGATCTATATGTATATCTTTTTAGATAAAAAAAAAGAGAATTTTCCAAATTGGTTTAAAACTGACGAAATTATGAGGTACCAAACAAAAAAATATAAGCAAATTAGAAAATCTTCATTTTTGAAGATAGTTGAAAGAAGTACATTAGATGGATTATAATACTCACAAATATAATAAGTGATACATTACATTTCCCAGTATTTTTTATTTAATAAAATCCTACTAATATTATAAATGTGAAAGTTTGTAAAAACGATTGGGTGTTTGTCACTCAATCACACTAGATCAGCTGAATAACTTTGAATGATATTTAGTATGTGGTTAAGTTATGTCCTAACTTAAAATATAGAATACTTTATATACTGATTAAAATGGAAAAAACTATAGTAACAGTTTATATTTTAATAAATTAAGTAAATAAATACAATAGTTAAAAGTAGTTAACTATTATACTTACAAAATAATAGACTTATATAAATATATAAAAATATCCCCATGGAAGGCAGGTGTAAGAAATATGCATATATGTATGTAAAACTATATAATAATTATTTTTTAGACTACATGTTAAACTTTGTGCTTACATACATACTTTGATAATAAATACATTTTCACTTCTTTTTTTTTACATATGCATCTCCACTTATTTAAAGAATATAGAAATTATACCAATCACTGGTTTCCTGTTCGTAATTTAATTGGCTAACATTAAAACAATATAAATATACGACTTTAATCGTAACTGTAAAGCTACTAATAAACTAAAACCTAGATATGCAGTGAACAGAACTGTAGGTCGATTTCAAAACACTGAAATATCGACCTTCGTATATAAATTTTGCAACGGCTCTACAGTATCTAATAATTAGAGATCAAGGATAATAATTACTTACGTTCTAGCCGAAGATTAATCGTGTAAAGTTCTACCACTCAAATGAAATTAGAAACGCAAAATTACTAGCAACTTCACTCGCTGAAAAATCAATAACACTGCCCGAGAGCTAATTCATTACAACAAAAGACAGTTATTATGAACTTAAGACGAACTTACCCCTTTCTAGGTGTAAAAGACAGGTCTAGTAGACAACGACAATTAATATCTTGTGGTGGGCGAGTTTGCAAAAAATTTATATTTATTTAAGTTTGCGACACACAACAAAACCGTACTGTGAGTACAATTTACGAAGATTTTTCTGAAACAGGCAAAACGTCAAAACATTAACTTGACACCTGTCATTACGAGTACACGTTCCATTACGCACCAAGTATTTACATTTCTTTTCAGCTTCTTCATGTATCCGTTTAGTTTCCTTCATTTTCAATATATTTCAAAAGAGAAACTGTTCTCAATTAATAGTATTTTCTATTTGTATCTTACTGTACTGATAACAAACCAAATTAATCATAATTGCTATATTTTTTTAATTAAATAACCAACAGACAGCAGGTAGGCGCAGTATCTATCCTATCACATTTTAATATGCGACGATCTTTATTTATCAAACTGTAATAAATAAATGATGGACTGCCTCATTAGAGATTATAATCATGAGCATAATTATCTCAAATAATATGAGTTCTCGTCACTATAGAGGTATTTTAGTCTTTTTAAAATTATGATATTTATAGTGTTCATTTCTGTTTCATTCATTCCCGCCTGTATTCTTAATATTCCCATATATATTTTATACATAGGTATAGTCTAATGTACTTACGTATAATATGTAACTTCTTACTAATATACATAATAAAACTGTAACAAGATAATATTGTACATTGAAGACATTTTACAAAAAAATATATCTGGAATCTTAATGAGACCAATACGTGTAGATGACAACAAAAATTTTTGGAAATTTTGTCTTTCAAGAAAACTTCACTTGAAAGAGTACTACACAAATTGAATGCGGTTTTTACAATTATGTTCCATTGTAGAAGTGGTCAATTTTATTTTATTTTTCTACATCTGAAATCCCCATGTACGAAGAAACGCGAAAAAACCTGGTAATTCATAATCTAGTTCTGTGAACCATTATTAGCCATATTATTAGTAGCCAAATTATACATTTATAGCCAATTATTAACTTTTAAATATAAATAGTTGTATATTTATATACATAGTCGTAGTATCTCTAGAACTAAACGTTGTTATTTAACATTTTTTATTAAACATTTACAACATGAAAATATATACGTAATCAAAATTGAAATGTACGTTATTTTAAGAGACTAGCAAGTCTACTCTTAAATCCAATATTAATATCAATCCAAAATATTGCCAATGTCAATTTTATACTGCACTTATAAAACAAAAATTAGGGATTAGATGAAAAGTGAAATGGATTTGCATTGACAATTTACACGAATATCCATCTATTAGAATAATATGGAACCATTATGTTGCTATTATTGCAATGCGAGAATGCAAAACGGTTAAATTTTAGTATTGATCTATTGGAATTTATTTCAAGAGTAATCCCACAGATCTACTAAGGATCTTCTGGGCAATATAATCTAAGGTTTGTTGGAGTAATAGGGATATTAACTGTATCTAATAACATTGCATCATTATTATTATTTTATTCAATGTTATGTAATAAAACACAAATTTGGTAAATAAAATTTTTAAATCTTACTTTAACATCACATAAAAAATATTCTAAAGCGCGTGTTCACTATGTGATTATTAGCAGAATCTTAAAACTTTTATATCTATAAATGCAAATTATTTTCACTTCAATGCATTTTCGTATCTGGAGGAAATATCTTGCCAGTTGGCGACATCAAAGATGGCTTTTACGTAATCAGCTCGTACATTCTTGTATTGCAAGTAATAAGCGTGCTCCCAAACATCGATACCAAACAGAGGAATTAGACCTGGAAAAAATTTTTTATTAATTAAGTATTTGTAAATAAAATTAAATGTAATTAATATAAAAAAATCGTAAAGTTCAATAACAGAATAATGATTTTGTCATAAATATTATTTTTAGAATTGATATATATTTTTAAAGTCTATGATGTTAGTCGTTTACGTTTAGTTGTCTAATACCCATAGTTGTCTAATACCCATAGTACAAACTCTGCTTCTTAGTTTAGTTTGGAGGTAGATTACACTGTGGTGTGTTCAAAATAAAAAAAACCTACTCATGTTGTACATAAAACCACAACCACCTTAATGATGGTATAATTTTAGAGTCATGAAAAATGTGTGCGAAGTTTGGATGAAGCGTTTTTAATGGATGATTATGTAATAGTAAACCCTACACTATAACTTTCAACTGAGGAGTATCAGTGAGGGTTAATAAGTGAGAAGTCAGATCAGTTGGTACATAAAATGGTTTCCTGAGTGGACCACATTGAAGGTGATTTAAAAGGGTATAGTATTAGTTATTAAGCTACAAGCCCTATTCAATGGATGTGTAATGACACTTAAGTCATTAACAAATTAATAAATGTGTCGAAACACTCGCAACTTTACCTGTTGTTGCCTGCAAAGGATCCTGGTTCTGACAAGTGGCTATTTGGAGTTTCTTCAGTTGCTTATTATAACCCAGCCAACCCCAGCCGGAGCCTTGTACAGCCACGGAAGAAGCAGCCAGCTGATTCTTCATATTCTCCAATGATCCAAAATCCCTATAATAAGTAGTAATAAGATATACTTTCTAATTAGTATAGGAACTTTATTCACCAATTACTTATCAAAGAGAGTTTAATTATATTATATATTAAAATATCATAAAAACATCCTGGAATATTGTGTTGGAACTACTTGATTGTTCATTACTTTATGTAATTATGTCTATTGTACAAAATGGCTCCCACAAAATATTCAAAATGTCAGAGTTCAACTTTTTTTATGTCACTGAGGTGATAAACAAGCATATGGCCAACCTGATGGTTAGCGGTTACCATAGCCTATGAATGCCTGCAATACCAGAAGCATTTTGCGCGTGTTGCCGACCTTGAAGAAACTTCTTTTTTGAAGAACTCCATGCTGTATTCTTTTGGAAAAAATTTTAGACAAGGTTAAAGTTGCACAAGACTAAGCACGAGATTTACATGGTTTTTTTTTTTCATGCAGTTAGAATGGCAAATAAGCTGATGGCCCACCTGATGGAAAGCGGTAAGCGTCGCCTATAGACATAATTAATACCATAGACACAACAAGGTACTGAGAGCCATATTTTGATTGTTATTAATAAATGCTTTTTCTTATTAAATATTAATGAATATTTAATATAGCATTTTTATTAAGTAATAAATTACAAAGTTCATTTAAGTTATCTCAATAATGTATTAGATTTATTTAATATATAAATATATCCCAAAATGTAGTTAAAATAATATACTTATTAAAAAAATTATAGGTCTTAAATATATACCTACATATAAGTAATCATACAAGTTTATCTACACTTATGCAAACGACATGAGCTAACACCTCTAGACAAAGTACGATCGAATCTATTATTAGAATCGTTATCATTAGCGAGTCAATGAGATAGAATGAGATGGCGTCGTGCACTGTCTTGTGCTTTCTCATGTAAAACTTGACCAAAACGATTCTATCAATAGATTCATTTCATAGTTTGTACCTTGTCAAGAGGACAGAGCACAAGAAGCTTACATTGTAAACAATATAGTAATAAATATAGGATCTCATTCTTAATCTTAAAAAACAAGCTACATGTCAACATAAATAAAGATAAAAAAATAGAAAGTGAAAAACAAAATAATACAATTATTTAAAGCAATAACAAGTGGCGAATGATATAATAAAAGCAATCAGAAGTATAGCTAAGAATGTAAACACACTAAAAACAATAACATTTTTATCAAAATAATGTCAGTTTGCAGTATCAAGGTTAAATGATTAAACATGCATTTACAGATAAAACTTGTTAGGAGACAGGTAAAAAGCCCATTTTAATTCGCCTAAGATTTGGATGCATGCAGGATATAAATAATATTACTGTTCAATAGCTTTGAGGAGAGCACCAGAAGGCTGTCCACCATTAGCGGAGAGATTCTGCCAGAAAATTGTGTGGTTGATGTGCCCACCCCCGTTGAATTTCAGGGCTGGGGCTAAACTGATCACTGTTTGGATGTCACCTGCACAATTTATTTACATATATATAAAATATGTGTATGTGTTAAAAATAGAATTTCAGTATAAATACCAATTGACATGAGTAATATAAGAAAGTATAATTGAAGATATTAGTTTAAAATATACAAATAAAAAAATATTAAACTTCTAACATTACTAAGGCTGACCCATATCTCAAAACTTCTTTTACGTTAATTACACCTAGGAAATATAATTAGAAACATATTTTTTTTTTGCAACTGAAAATGGCAAACAAGGTGACAGAAAGAAACTCAATTGACTAACTAAACATTTCAACTTTTATAACTTTCAATAATTTTTAAATTATTTTCTTTTCTATTTTTTTAAGCAAATAATAGTTAATCTATAGTTATCTAGAATACATTTTTATAGCACGATTAATTAAATTTTATGCCAGTTTAGTCATAAATTCTATTATTAGATAGTAGTGATAAAGTTTGATACATGATTTTATATACTCATTGCATATACTAGTGAAAATACTGTCTTTTTAAGGATATCATCATAATATCAACCTTTAGCTGTCCAATGCTGAACATAAGCCTCCCCTTAAGGGGATTTGCCACACTTGGCAGACGGATTGGTAAACACAGTTAGTTCCTTAGTCACCTCTTGCCACAGGAAAGAAAGGGGTGGCTTATTATATGCTGAGACCAGACAATGATTTTTCAAGATATCTGTATTTACAATTAAAAATACCAGAAACTAGAATACATACAAATTGACTGTTCATGTACATTACTACTATAATAAAGGGTCTAAAGACTAATAGGTCTACAAAAAACAAAAAATAGAATTACTGTTTCACAGATTGCAGTAATAAACAGGAAGGTTGAGTTTGGTAAGGTGTTAAGTTTAACCAAAATATTGCATGGTTAATATGGCCACCACCATTAAACTTTATGGTGCTCATCAGACTAACTAAGGTGTTAGTGTCTGCTGCTGTCAACATACTAACATATTAAGTACTGTTTTTATTAAAATATACATGAAATAGTAAATATATATGTGTATGGAAATCACTACAAATAGAATTGTTGACTAATATAATCATAACATAGGCTATTTTAAATTTAAAAAATCATAAAAATATAATTTTTTATGACAGAATAGTACAGTACACAAGCTGATGACAACCCTGATGGAAAGTGGCAATCTTTTCTATAAGTATACTATAATCTTATACTACATTTTGTATTTTTGGGAAATAGAAAATATCTATCCATAATAATTATTGATTTTTAACTATACCCACTTAACAGATTTTATATAACTGTTATATAACATGATAATTGGCAATATTCCTTAAGAAATTTTGAATAATAGTCTGCATAACATATATTTTGAACTTAAACTTGTCATTACCATATCATCTGAATTTTTATTTATAATAATGTAAACCAAAGATATGTCTTTATAAGGAGTTTTGCTTAGTAAAAATCACAATGTCATGATTACCTGCAAAATTTTACAGCATTTGACTGAATACAACATTACTTAAAAGTAATGTCATATGTAAAATTATATTTTATGACAGAAAACTGCAATAGCCCCTTCACATATCTTAAATCATAATTATGATATCTCTAAATTTTTTTATTATTATGGATAAAAGATTACTGTTCTTCATTAGTGTTAACTGTATAATATTTGGTCAGAAACAAGCTTGGATTATTTTATTATTTTGAAATAATAATTTACCTTTAGCTTGGGCTTGTGCAAGTTTCTCCTCTGCAGCGTTTAGATTATTGACGTATGTGGCGTGGTGCTTGCTGTGATGCAGGCTCATAATTTCACGGCTGATCACTGGCTCCAGAGCATTATACTCGTATGGCAATTGAGGAAGAGTGTGCTTTTGTCGCGAAGCATTGACTACACGGCTGGGGATAATATCAAAGCTTTATAATAGTAAAAAAAAATCTATCACTATAAAAATAAAATAAAAGTATTCAATCAAATTATACTTTATGAAACAGACTAATTAACATGATTGAAATTAAAAAAATATAACTTACATTACGGAACCAATGTTACGAGACGTGAACATTGTGGTTGAATTGAAAAATAACACTAATAGAAACAATTAATACACCGGAAGATCAACCGGCTAAATGCGTAATAAAATAAAATTAAATTTATAATAAATCAATCGGCCGTAAAAATTACGCAACCAACCAATCAAATGTCAAACTCAACATGTCAAAATTGATGTTTATTCTGACGTTTGCGTTTTGTTTGCATACCTAATTGTCCAAACCAAACCTTGTTCTGAGTCTAAGACTTACTCACCTACTCTTTTTAACCATAGGTTAAAAAGAGTAGATACCCGCTTTTTCCAAGTCTAAAATTATACACAACACAAACTACGTGGCTAACATTTCTTTTTATCAGCTATATTACTTGTATAAAGATTGGAATTGATAAGAAAAAAACGAATAACAATGATTAGATACCTTCTATTATCGTCGCTATTTACTAGTTTGCTCTAACTTCACATTTCTACAGAGAATTTTATATTTTACTTTGGTGTACCGCATCTGTTGTTTACTGTCGGCACGTCACGTAGGCAGGTTTTATTGTGTGCCTTAAGTAGACAATATAGTACGCAAATGATTATAACTGTGTGTGTAAATTGTTACGAGACTTCGACCGTTTGAGTTGTGTTGTGACTGCTCACCGATATTAATTTTCAATGCGATTTTAATTTATAGTTATTATTAATAATACACTACTTAATCTTATTAATTATTATTTGAATACTTCGTGATAACATAATTGTATCTGGAAATTAACTTTAATGTTTTGATCAGTGCTATAAAAAGTGGTGGTGCATTTGTTTATTTATAGACAGTCGCAATTTGCAGTCATGTAATTATTCTGTTCCTTTGGCCGTAAAATGTCTCAGAAGGATACAGCGATACATCTAGTTGCCGGCGGGTAAGTGTGAGCCGTAACTTTGTTAAAAAAATGAATCGTCTTCCGTTATCATTACCTTCAACTTTATCACTATGTATGAACTTATGTATTGGCACATGTGGCTAAATGTTGTTTACGTTAATTCTACGCCAGTAAAAAAATATTTTGCCGCATACCTAATATGGCGACAAATACGTAATTCAATAATATTTATAGTTTCGATCCATGGAATGATGATAGAATTAAATAAACTAACTTTAATAGGGTAACAAAAGGTACTACGTAATATTGATAGAAATTAGTTAATTTTTCTATAATTTCTATATTGTGCAAAGGTAAATCTGAAAACGATTATCATTGTTTACCAACTTAATAGTCAGTGGATGTTCTTAAATCGTATTTTTTCATGAGAGGTAGGTATTGATTTGAAAAATTCGATGAATGTTTTCTCGGTCTGAAATTAATCTGTATTTATTTATTTGTAGGTTTCAGTAATTATATGTTTATAAAAACTACTATATAATACATCTTAGAAAACATTATTTTAAAAACAGTGATAAAAATTACCTTAGGCAAAAACAAAATATATCTAAAACATATCTATTAAAATATAAGAAACATGTAATTTTTATTAATTAGCCAAATTACATTTGTTTGTGATAAGTTGCATCATATGCCTATGCCTACTTATTAAAAAAATGATGCCAAATCTGACATTACCTATGCTGCAACATTGTAACAACTTAAATCAAATTCAATAAAATACTAAAAGAGATTAATTCAAAGTAAATTGGCAAATAAATGAATCTAATGTAAATTGTAGAGTAACAGCATAACTGATTTTAAAAAGTAGAAGATTCTCAATTTGCCTGTCTCTTGCTAAAAAAAAACTCAAGACATGGCTTATTAGAGATCTCACTATCTAGTATTATATTTGAATATTGCAACTAGCCAATGCAGTTTCTCATTGGAATTTGCCAAAATATTCTTATCAGTTTCGTAAAATATAACAAGTTTTACAAAACTGATAAGAAGTGTGGGAGTAATTTTTACCTTATCCTAAGATACCTACTTTTTTAACCTTTTAAATACCCTAGTTAGATTTATCTAATATTTTTACAAATATTTTTATATTTATATGTCCCTTCTCAGAGTTATGTAGCAGAGGGGCTGAGTTATTGTGAAATTGTTTTCTCCATTTGTTTAACTACCCACTATATTAACACAGTCACAAAATATAAACAGGATTTTGTATAAAAAAAATATAATCTAATAAGATAAATGATAATAGTCAGAAATATAAAAAAAAAAAGACTAAGACAATATAAAATTTCTAACTGGAATCAAGTGCTAGGGGCACAAAAATTACTTTAAAGCCAAATGGTCAAAAGGTTACTTGGGAAGTTTTTAGTGTAACTCTTGTATTGAAATATGAATCTTGGGTTTTCCAATCATGGGTTGTCTTTTTTATTATTAAAAATTTTGTAAACAAACATACTTAAGTATTTCATTTTAAACTTAATTGAATTTTACCTACATTTAAATAGTTTATCTCCATCTGAATGCAATATCTCCTTAAGTATATATGATAATGAGTAAGAATCTAATTCAACAACTCCTTTCCTTTTCCCCATATTAAATTCAGGGTTGCTCTATTCAATAAATTCAGAGGTAATTATGACCTAGATAGTATAGCAATTTATCAAACTGCCTCTCTTTCAAATGGTCATATGTTTAATCCCTGCACAATACAAACATTTGTTTGTTTGTATTGTTTGTTGTCCTGCATATTTCTATTTATAATATATATTTAGAAATAAATATTTAACATTTGTCTAGAATTCAATATATTAACTCTGTTTAATTTGAAACTTAATATGTATGTAAATGTCCAGTACTATAAATTATTAATATCAAATTGTGACAAAGTAAATATTTTTTCATTTTCAAATTTCCCAGGGTGGCAGGAACAGCGGGAGCTGTTGTAACATGTCCATTAGAGGTTGTGAAGACTAGACTACAGTCATCGAAGGGTGTCGGGGTACCACCATCACAGCCGCCACCCTCCGATAGTGCTACACATGCTAGAAAAGTCTGTTCTAAAATTCCAAAACACCAGGTAATTTTATTGTAGTTGATATTTTTGGTAGGCTAAAACATTCACTTTACATTAATCATAATCATAATTTATATCATAATGAATAAATAATGTTATTAGTATCCACTTATGATGTAATTATATTATAATTTGCTCTGATGCTCTGCTCTGGGAAATTGGCAACCCTCTTTTTTTAAACTTTTTAAAAATATTATATCTAAGTCTAAATTGTAAATAAACAATTCCTTATCAGTTTTGATATATTTTTTAGTTTATCTGTTATCAGATTGCAAATGCCCCCAATAATTTTGATAAGACTTATTTTTTCAAAGGGGTAAACAATATTTGCCTAGTAAATAAGTCTTTTAGTTAGATATCATAATGCATAATAGGTAATTGTGATAAAGCTGAAATGCGCCATTTGATTGATTGCACTTTCCAGCCGGGCTCTGATAAGATATCAGTTACTAGGATACACAATATTATAAAATGGCTAGACATATGTTATCTTGAAAGGTTAATTGTGATCCTGATTGCTTTTTTGTGTTTTTGTCAAAACACTTATTCATTATGTTTTGGTACTCCTATCGTAATCAACATTATTCCTATGTACATTAGTGTTATCAACATGTATCTATGCACATGCACTTAATAGAAAATGCTTATAATCTGTTCTGTATATACTTAGCTTATTGAATAAACAATCTTGACATGTCTATTTATCTAAATATTAGTGCATAAAATAAACAAATAGTTTTTCATATTAATTATGTGTTAGATGCCTGATTTGTATTTTTTTTAATGTTTTGATTTAATAATTACCGGTTTAAAATACGTGTAATTAAATCGAAAAAGCTCGACTAGTTTCGAAATCAATTCGTGATCCTTAGTCATGAGTGACTAAGAGTGTTTTATTTTTTATGCAACTTAAAATCGCAAATATGCTGTTGGCCCGCCTCAGAAAGTGTTAATGGTTACCTATAGACATGAACAACGTCATGGATATTACAGAATAGCTTGTAATGCCATTGGTACCCCTCATTCCTTGTAATTTATAATGTTCAAGTCAATGCTTAGTCGTATTGTAATCAGTACGACAAAAATAGTGCACATACATAAAGAGTGTATAGGATCTTCCAGTTATTTTGTGACGCTTCGTAAGGGTATGGCAATATAGGCAAAGAGCCTAACACTTTATATTTAATTAATATTACACACAAATAATTTTGTGCAGATTTTACTGTTTAAAAAATTTTTGATATTGATATAGTAATACATATAAATGTTATTGTAAAAAAAAGGTCTTATTACTTATACTAATTCTGAATGAACAAAATGAACAAATATTACATATTTATTTAATTTAATTTTGTTCATTTATATATGACTATTTATTCTTTTCAAAAAAAGAAAATGGAAACGGTTACCCCGTCTACACGTTCCGTAAAAAGTAACCGCGTGGAGCTCGACCCGATTGCTAGTAATAGAGCTGTTTGATCGCATTACTAACAATCTCTTTTCCCCGTGGCTATAATCTCTAACGTAATTAGAAACATTTGTCGACAATGACTCTCGGCATACCCGCATTTCACAGAGTATTTTAGAATAAGTGAACAAAGTCGCGGGTAGTATAAATATAACAACTAATTTAGACCGTTATTGCGTATGTAGAATAAGACTATCACTGGAGTTTGTTGATCGTTCGCCGAAATACGTCAGTAGCTAAATATCGTTATTGCAAATACCTATTACCATTCACTGTAGGTACAATGGCTCTTTTTAACTCTTTTTATAATTACCATTTTTGATAAACTTTGTGTAAAAATTGTCTTCATGGGTACTTCTGTCCCACTAATGTCTCTGTAGCAATATTTGCTGTGCTTGTATGGCCCTCGTTTGAATAGTATGTGATATAGCGGTGAAATTATATGTTATGGAAACATAAAATCCATAATCCTTAAAAACGTCGATAAATGAGGAATACCATGGGCGCCAGTCTATTCTGTAGTAGCGTTATTCATGTGTATCGACGATGACGATTGCCACTTTCCATGACAAAAAAGTTGACAATCCACCTAGGGTTGTCAACTTTTTTGTCATTCCAAGTAACATGTACATATGTATATTATTTGTACAATATACTTGACACTTCTAATATGTTACATGTGTATATGTAACATATTAGAAATGTCAAGTATATTGCTTAAAAAAAGAATATTTTAATAAAAGAACAACTGGATTAACTTAGTGTATTTTAGTTGAAAAAGTTCGACTAGTTTCGGGACCAACCGGGGCACTTAGTCGTATAATGTGTTTTAATAATATAAAATATTATTGTTCAATAAATATATACACTAATAAATACACACTAAATATGATACGCAAGATAAAATTTAAATAGGTATTATAAGATTTTCATTTTCATGTCAATAAAAGAGTAGTCGAGGTAATAATCTTTAAATTGACATTGATAACACTTGCCTACTTAAAAGCCGGTAAAAACAATAATAAGTAACAGAAATATTATTTATTTATTTATATTTTATGGCACACAAAGCTTACATTATTGTAAATTATTTGGAAAAAAGACGTACAACAAACGAGCTTAACTCTGTAATAGTTCCAGCAAACTTAGAAGGGAAAGGAGCAGTAATTCCATTATTATTGAAATTATTAATTATTCTTATTAATTTTAAACGAGGGATATAGGTTTATACAGGAGGTTTAGGTAAATACTAAACGAACGATTTTTAATACAGTCAAGAAATGCAAATTAGTATTACATATTGTAATCATTTAAACTACTTTTACGAATCATCAACGAAATCCTTTGAAACCCCCCTAGCGAATCCACACCAAATGATTAATTAATGACAAACAACGTACGTTTGTAAAATCTGATAAGATTTTGACGAACTATACATTCTGTGCTCCATGGAAACTTAGACAGCTGACTGATTACACATTATTGAAATAGTGATAACTGAAACACTATAGACGTATTACATATTCATTACAGCGTATCACTATGTCCGATCGAAGGTCAATTTTGGCAAAGTCCGAAGTTAATTTGTTAAACTATTGGCCAAAGTTTGACAAGAGACAATCCTCTGCATACTTTTGTCCGTCAGTATAGGGCACACAAATGAGAAGTTTCCTGGTTGGTACAATGGAAAATACAAGTATTGGTCGCCGCTATAGAAGTCTCGATTAAATGACAGCTCTTTGTTGTAATATACTGGAGGGAGACTTATTCGTGTTTTACCGTGAAGCAGTTGTGTTTGCATGACTGTGTTTCGGTTTGAAGGGAGGGATATGGCAGTGAATTTACAGGGTACAGAGGAATGTCACCTGAGTCCTTAGGAAAGGCAACGCATGGGGGTATCATGGGCGAAACAGTATACTCTGTTAAGTTTATGGTACTACTCATGTCTATAGGCAACAGTTATCACTTTCCATCAGGTGGGCTGTCAGCTTGTTTGCCATTGTAAGTTGCATAAAAAAGGGTAAAAATTCGTTTTAAGACAATTGCTCTAGTACACTTATAAATTTTAGAAGCTTTATTTAAAAGTATACATAGCGACCTCTCATTATCATCTTAGATACTAAACTATATATTGATCATTGCTAGTTTTGTAGTAGGAGGTGTAGAGATTCCAAGTCGTGACTGTGAAAAACATGATTTTTCTTAGGTACTCGACCTCACCGTTGATTTATGTTATATAATTTAAACTATATTCCAAAAAAAAATTTTATTGTAGCCAGTTATTTTGATATAAAAACTACAGTACTGTACCGATTTAGATTTTTATAGAACCAATTTGTAGGTTTATCCTTCCAGATAAAAAAAGTATTTTCCAAATCGGTTTACAAGTGACGGGGTTGTGGGGTAACAAATATAAAAAATTGGGAACCTTTTTCCTTTTGAAGTCAGTTGGAAATATAATTTTCAATCATACTGTAAGATGACATATAAACGGATAGTGAATGCCTTATTAATCAGTGGCGTGTTATTTTTTCCAATAATCAAGAATCTAAAAATAGCCCACGGGTAATAAACTCGGCGACTGTTACAATTTACTCGTGTTTCGTAACGGAATGGAAATAATCTTTATTCAAACTTTATCACAAGCATTTATCATCATACAAAAATACTATGATTCTATTATTGGGTTCGTAATGTTATGTTGAGAAGAACCCGCAAGAAACTCGACTATGAGGGGTATCATGGACGAAACAGTATACTCTATTATGTCCATGGTACTGCTCATGTCTATAGGCGACGGTTACCACTTTCCATCAGGTCGGCCGTCAGCTTGTTTGCCATTCTAAGTTGCATAAAGAAACTCAAACAACGAGACTACTGATCACCGGACAATCCATTTTTACTCGTATATTCATAAAAAAAGACGATTTAAAAGTACTTGTAAATAAGCCTATTTGAATAAATATGATTTGAATTTGAATATAAACGGACAGCTAAAACATCTAACATGGAGAGAATAAATTAATAGTACAGGCACCAATGCAGTATAAATATCCCTATTACGTTAGACCATAGCATGTCCATGGTTCAGGAACGAGAAACAGGTTATCTGTTGGGTTAATGATCCGAGGGACATCGAGGAGTATTCTACAATATTCTGCATGCCTGTAGAACGAGCTTGCTCAAAGCGAAGGCAATCTTCAGTCTAGACACTTTTGTCCTAAATTTACAGAACAGAACATGTGATATTACACGGTTAAATTAATAGATATGTTAAAAAGGAAAAATTTTGTGCATAATTTCAAGACAAATTCAAATTTCCACCGAGTGCCAACAATATTAGCATACTAATGGATGGAAATTGAGCTGAGAGACATCAAAACTAAGGAAGCTAATAGGGTAAATGACGTAAAACATTGTACGTGGAAAATTACAGGATATTTGTACATCTCACCCTCTTTTTGGAGTTCCGTAATCCATCGAAGAACCATATAATACAGTAAATAAATCTACTAAATGTAATAATCTATAATTTTAGAGCATAAGCATAGAGTACAGAATGCTAAAAGTGGCCATATCTCTTCTTACAGTTTGTCTGCTTTTTATCGTGTGTTTATAACATTAGTACTTAGTTTATTTGGACAAGCAATGTATTTGCCGCTTGACGTCTTCACGTGGTCCTTCAAATTAGAAGTTTTAAAAATTACTTTCCTTATTTATATTCTATTTTAGCAGAGTTGTTGAGCTAGTGACCCGACATTGGCTTAAGTCCAAATGAATATCGGAATCTCATTCTAGGTTGCCTACGACGACGATCCCAAATGTTTACAGTTTGTGAAATCAATACGCAACCTAACTCTATTGATTTTTCAACAAGTCTCATTTTAATAACATCATCTAACAATGGTGTAAAATATATCTAAAATTGGTGTATTTCAAAATATTTTCCACCACCGAATCACCAAATCTGGAGTTGGAATAGCCCCCCCTCCTATCCTTCTCAACTCAAAAAACTTAATAACTCTCCCATCCTACACTGATTTAAGATTTGGAAATATATCTGTAAGAGAGTTAATGAGTACCGTCTTCTATACTCTATTGTATAATTGTAATTTCTTTTGATATTACGACCGTGAAATAATAAGCTTTTACATCTTGCTTTATATCTTTTCATTTCACGATCAAATCTTGATACTAGAATTAGATGGAGCGACTCGATCACATCTTGCCACTTATTAGATGGAGCAACAAATACAAGTGTTGCATAGAGTCAGTGGATACAGGTTGCTCAGGGCTTTTCCTTAAGGCAGTCTGTGGAGACGTATATTCAGTAGAGTTTTTGATACTGAAATGATGATGATGACTTGATAAAAAAAAATAGAAATACTTTTTTTTACGCGTTGTAAAATGGTTATAAATCATTAAAGTCATAAAAAAAAAAACATAACTTACGGATTCATCAATTGATTGTGAGGACGTATCAAAACTGATTAATAAATAAATAACTTCTACTCAAAAGTCTAATTCAATACAGAAATTTAAAAGTAAAATGTGACAAAATCTCAACAGTTACTCACATCGTACTGTAATGCGCAAAATAAATTATTTGTCACAATTAAGCAAGCAGTGCGGGCATAGTTGACAAATTTATTAGTGATTGTAAATATTGTGCTGCTTCCTTCCATTAAATTATTCCGGTTATACCAAGTAATCCAAGACAAATATGATGGTAATCGATGACCTTACACACTGTCATTCATAGTAGTAGGTTAAAACCTAACAAAGTTGCAAGGTCACTATAAATTTAGACCGATATGCGCAGTGGCAACTTGAAATGTCTAACAGTACGTTGATCAATATACGACTTTACATACATAGGCTTGTGTGAGACAATGCATTACATTGTATAATATGAATTATGATGTTACAAAACTATGGAAATTGAGAAACATTACCTGCGTTGTAATGGGTATTTTTTTCTACCGTGACTCAGTGTTGCTATCTTCTTATCTGTTTACTACCTCTTGTTTATAGTCTACACAAGAATCTATGTTTTCTGTTTTTGTTTTTGTTATCTTTTGGAGAAAAACATGTCAAAATTGACACCTCTATCATCTACTTACAGACTCGCAGTTATGCTTTACAAAAAACTTAACCAATCGTGAAGAAGTTTGAGAATACTTTTTTTTATTTTAATTTTGCTATATTTTTTTTATTTTACATTTTTTTTAATTTTTCAAAAATAACGATGTTTTTTAAAATATTATAAAATGCGTAACCTTGTATATTGAACCCGGGTAACTGAGAGGTTCAAATCCAGTCTGATCGAAAACCACTCTACAATAGACATTTTCAGTATTATGTTTTATGTATGTTTTTGATACAGAATAGTCAATATGCCAGCCAGCACTTGTTTTTTTTTTCTTATAAGTTGTCATAGCTTGAGTCATAGGTACTACTACTAGTTTTTTCATTTCCTGTTAGTAATTACGTTGTAATCATAATCTAATTTACCCCACGTGGGTTACATACAATTAGAATCATAGACAATCTATTGCCAGATTAATTGCTAATTAGATCCTTTACTTGTTCTTATACGCAATTTCGTCTGCCTGACCGAGATTAAACGTATCCTTCTCAATCAAATTTTACATGTATACCAAATTTTATGACGGATGCTTAATTCATTAAGGCGGCAAGATATAATAATAATAATCATCTTTATTTACTTAAACATAGTACAATGCAAGGTGTTATATTAGTAAAAGAATATTAACAAGATAAGAAGCGAATAAATAAGTATTTACAATATTAACATAGTAAACTAATAATTATTGCCTAACAGAACTGTAATCTTTCGCCGTTCGTGATCTTATGAATTAAGTCTGTCGACCCAGAATAATAACAATATCTTATTCACATAACTATTGAACTATTGTATGTTTTTTTTTTACAACAATATATATATATATATATATATATATATATATATATATATATATATATATATATATATATATATATATATATATATATACATAATTGGAAAACAATTAGACACAAGTACTTATATAAAATATTTATGTGCGTCGCAATTTAGTTTAATAAAAATAAAATAATTATAATTAATTCGTAACATGACGGAAAAAGTATTTATTTTATTACTTACTACCATTGAAAAAGCAATTATTATAGCTATTTTATCTGTGTCTGTACTTACTAATTATACTAAAAATAGATTACAAATCTAAACTTACTCTCCTTGGTGTTTTCATGAGATAAATATCTAAAAATAAATATAATGTGTTATAAAGTATCCTAAACATGTACTGTATCAGTGTTTATTCATATTTACGCCTAGGACTCGATGAAACAGAGAATCTTGATGTTTACAAGTCTATTATTACATCGCGTGGATATATGTAGTACGGCTTCAGTAATTTGCTATCATTTAGTGCGAATGAGTTTAGGTACATGTCCACGCAATACACTTTATTATTGTTGATGCATTAAAAATTCTACCGTGAAGCAGTTGTTTGCATGACTGTGTTTCGGTTTGAAGAATGGGATATGGCAGTGAAGTACAGGCTACACAGGAATAACACCTGAGTCCTCAGGAATGGCAACGCATGGGGAGTATCATGGGCGAAACAGTATACTCTGTTATGTCTATGGTATTGGTCATGTCTATAGGCGACGGTTACCACTTTCCATCAGGTAGGCCGTCAGCTTGTTTGTTTCTAAGTAGCTTAAAAAAAGGTTACAAACTAAAATAGCATCTAAAACAGAATATTAATCGTTTATTTTATCTTGGTGTCTCTATATTATTAATTTTAATGTAATTTTGTATAAGTAGGCATTGTCAGTATCAAAATTCAATTAATACGTACAAATTTTTAAAAATTAAACAAACCATTGCTTATTTAGTGCACGACAAAGAAAATCAGGAATGGAAATTGGAAATATATGTATATTATAAAAAGGAATTTAGGAGACTAGGGCCGTGTAGGGAAGCCAAAAGGGAGCAATAATAGAATGTGGCAATTTCAAATTTGGTAAATAATAATGTAAAAATTATAAATAACACATGTGGCCACACAGATAAGTAGCTTAATATAGCGCTAAAATTGAATTAACATTATAGAAGGTCAAAATTGATTAAATATGTATGTAATGAATGACATGTATTCTACAGATCAGGTATAGGGATTTTGAAAACTTTTATGTTATGTTCGTCGAATTTATATGTTGGCCGTATCTACCAATATTTACACTATCTTCCATATTGTATAAAGAGATGTATAAATTAGTTAAAGCTAAAGGGCAAATAATGTATCTGCTTGTATAAAAGAAGAAAATGGCGTATTTCTAAAATCTATTAATAATATTAGAAGTAAAAATCTAATTAAATGGTACATGGAATGTATCAATGTAATAAAAATAATTTACTATGTCGTTTTCTCTAAATAATTATTGCTAACCTAAATAATATTCATTAAAATTTATCACCCATTTATGTAGTAAACTGCTAGGAATTAATTTTGTTTTCATTTTTCATTAACATCAATATTCCATGGGGGTTATATTACATTTATGTAGTAATGTAGTAATAGTAAGATCCTAAACTAATGTATATTTCATAATCTTAAAACTTACTATTTACTAGAGTATTTCTACTTAAATAGTACTTGATTCATTTACATAATGATCCTATATACAAGTACATAACCCAACACGTAATTGCTACCCTATGCATGTCTCCCCCTGTCTCTTAACTTGTCAAAATTTCCCGAATATCTTTTTATTATTAACATCCATAACATTGGCCATACAACACAGGAGGCCAAATGGGGCTACAGACGTACAATGGGCGCAATGTTCGCGTACAGCAAGCAAGCAGATCGTATGCTGATGTCGTACAATTGTCAGGTTCAGCAGTACGCGAGGGCTGGCCACGCCAGGACCATCAACAGGATGAGCCTCATACAGTGCATAAGGTGAGCAGTAACTTGTCAATAGACTTCTCAATTCGCTTCTATTTTTTCACCTCATAACTCTGTCATTTATAAACCGATTTGTAAAATTCTTCTATATCTGAAAGGATGTACTTACCGATTAGTCCCATAATTTTTATTTTAAAACTGTTCAGCAATTTAGTTTTTAAATTAAAATAATTGGTTTTACTGCGATTGAAGTCGGTTTTTTTGTGAAACAATCTTAAATTAACTTTTTTTTATTATTAAGACGCAAACGAGCTAATAAGAGTCCACCTCTTAGAACAGAAGAACAGCTCCTTATTCTGTTCTGTGGTTCATCTGAAAAGTAAAGGCACAAACACTTGCAGCTTATCTTTTTTTTATTAATTTAATTTAGAAGCATAAAGTGTAATGTGCATTGTCAGTCTTTAAAACTTTCAGACACTATTTTTATATACGGTGAATTCGAAACTCGGTGAAAACCTTTTAAGAGAGTGTTCTACCAGCCAAATGGAATATTTGTCCTAAAAATATATGCAAAGAGGAACAATGAAGAGTTTCTCATACTAACAAGACATGATGATTGTCAAATTAGTGTGAGAAACTAGACTTTTTTTGTCATTTCTCAATCCATAGTTTTTTGGAAATAATGGTAATTTTAATTGAAAGAACTCTCCCTTAAAAGGTTACATCTTCTTTTTCTTTGATTTTAATTTTACTGTAATATTTAGAACAGCAAGCAAACAGACAGTACACCCCACATTGGAAACAGTAATTACAAACATAAACATTTCAATGGACATTAAATAGGACATTACTATACTTCTAACTGTCCTATCCTACTACTGAAGACCGGTGTTTATGAGTGATACATTACCTGGTTACTAAAGAAGGAAGGACAGTGTCCTGCTTTCGTTCCATTCTTTACTTTCTTCCGTATCATTGTCATATCATGAAATATTTTTAAAAAGAAACGTGGCTACTTAACGATAGAAACGCTAATGATAATCTACTATCGACTTTCTCACTGCAAGTATTTTTGTTCACCCAATTGTCTTGGACGCTCAGTGGGTCAAGGCTTAAATAATTGTAATATAGATGCTCATCGGGTAACGTTCTATGTTCGAAATAAAAATAAATATTACTTTGGATTACAATCAATCATAGAAGGAAGACTTTTGTCATTGTGTTCACCTCAACTTGTTCACATTTCGTAGAACATTAAAATCTAATGTGGCAGCGGACGTGCCAACCGTTATCTCGCATTTAGTTAGTTTGGAGGAGAATCAGACGAAAATTTAAATAGAGATTTTGGTATATGCCAGATTTGAACTCGTGACCTTCGAGGTATTATGGGTCGGGATGAAAACAGGCCGCGACGCGCTCTGTTAATATTCAAATCGTAACATAACAACATTTACTCTTATAATGCCCACCTACTAATTTATTATAGCTTCAAATGCACTCTGTTGTGTTTATTAGTTCTCGGAGTACTGACATTTTGGCTTTTAGCCATTGCGTGCATAAAATCATTATGTATAGTCCAATACACTTGTCTACTGATATCTCTCTAGTTTTATCAAATCGATGTAGCGATGAAGTTATCAAAAATATGTACCTACTGAACTAAACCGGAAAAAAAAATACAAAACTTTTGCAGTATCATAAACTTACATATTATATAATGTGTAATTATATTAGATTTTTACAAAGAACAATTGTCCGTGAACAAATAATAAGACTGCTTTAAAATAATTTAATTATCACATGTACGCTAATAGATAAGAAATTAAATATGCTCGCTGATCTTCATGAGATGAGTGCGTGTATCCTATTCTGTAAAGACCTGGCGCCTGGACAAATATTTTAAGATTAATAACTCGCACAAATATTGGCCGATCGCTTATCAGTTTACCGTCACTATGCGTTAGATCAGAATACGCTATCACTCCTGTTCCCTGTGTAAAATCGTCTTATCCGCCCGAAATACATCCATTTTCCCAGACACAATCCAATTTTATATAATTTATTTTTAGTTCCATTTTGATATTTGTACGCGTTTATCTTGAAATGATACAACTTACGTCAGTACAGTTCGAGGTTAAAACCAAAACGTAAATATCATTAAATGTAACCTTGCTCTTAACTTTCTAGGCATATCGTCCAAACTGAGGGCACTAAGGCGCTATTCAAGGGCTTAGGACCAAATATAGTGGGCGTCGCACCGTCCAGAGCTATATATTTTTGCACATACTCGCAAGCAAAGGCCATATTAAATCAACATATAGCACCTGATACGCCCATTGTACATCTCTCCGCAGCCAGTGCTGCAGGTAATTGGACATCTTTTATTATTATTATTTTTTATACAACTTAGAATGGCAAACAAGCTGACGCCCCACCTGATGGAAAATGGTAACCGTCGCCTATAGACATGAGCGGTACCATGGACATAATAGAGTATACTGTTTCGCCCATGATGCCCCCCATGCGTTGCCAGTCCTGAGGACTCAGGTGTTATTCCTCTGTACCCTGTAAATTCACGCCATATTCAAACCGCAACACAGTCATGCAAACACAACTGCTTTACGGTAGAAACACAAATGGGACAGAGGTATCCAAGCAATCGACTTTTGTACAAAGTCTCCCCATGGCCATCATCATTTTAACTATTTATTGTTCATTGGTAAGTGATAACTCGCATGTGTTATCGTAGGATATGACAGGATAAAAGTGAAAGATGATAGGTAAAGATGAAGTCAGGTCAGTGATCTTGACAAAGTCACTAGAAATTAACCACTGTAGTTTCCAGAGGGTACCTTGTCGAACTCAACGTGTTAGGGATATATTACTGTAATGGGACCTTGCGACCCCAATACTAGCAACTCCCTTCCCCCTCTCTATTTTTCACTACTGATCATAGGCTTTTCACTCACAGGCTACCATAAGGAACGGTTCTGAAGCACTTATATCTATCAGCTTCCTGCAACACAGTATAGGTTGTCGGTTCACCTAGTGGGGGGTCGCCCAACACTGCGTTTGTCTACTATGATCAATGACCTTTATATCTATATCGAATACATTGATTATGCAATAATTATTATAGTAGATATCTTATTTCGTGCTGCTTATAAAATATGGTCGTATATTCGATTAACGTTTTACGTTTGTGAATAATTTTATCATTGTTTTCTTTTTTTTTAAATATCAACACAGATTATTGTTCATTGATGTAATATAATTATTTTATGAGCATATTGTAACACAAATATGATATTTCAGGGTTCGTATCGTGCACAATGACTAATCCAATATGGTTTGTGAAGACTCGGCTACAATTGGACGGGCAGAATATGTCAGCTTTGCAATGTATTAAGAGGATATATCACAAAACGGTATGATTTGGTTTCATTTCTCACTCATCTACGATTGATATTAATATTACAAAGAGGAAAGACTTGATTTATATTTTCTTTTATTGTATTGAGTAACATCAAAAATTACTCGACCGATTTTTTAAATTATTTCACATATAGAAAGATACGTTGTTAGCGAGTAACATAGGCTATCTTTTTTCCATAACCATTATACTAAATTACATAGGGATCTACCCTATAATGCTATATAATGTATTATGCTAAATAATAAAATACTATTTTATCTATTTAACCATGCAAAGCCGGGGTACAACGCTGGTTTCTAAATAAAAAATAAAATACCGTTCACATACACATTGGTTATTAATAACGAATCGGATAGACTGAACACGTGACAACAGAATCATTTTAATATAACAATTATATAACATTGACGTTGGTTTATGTAATAATGTTGCTAGAGGCTAATTTTGATTTTTACCCAAAATATTTTTTCTCAAAATCGATATTATTTTTAAGACTTTTTATCCAATTACAAAGTTATATTGTTTTTCACTGCGTTTTGCCATGTGCCACATGTGAACGATGAATTAAAGCCATTTCTTCTGCGTCTACTTTTAGCTAAACTTATCCTCCCTTCTCTTATTCTGTTTTACTACCTACATTCACATTTTACTTTATATATGCCTCTATACTGATTACCTGTATCAAAACTGTCCAAAAAAATTATCCAAGTTTCTTCAATTCCATTTTACTTTTCTCCAAAAGTTTCAAGAAGAATGCCATTTTTACAAAATTTCTCAAATGGAAAATTTTTTACCCAATATTGCGAAAAAATACCTAATCTGTCAATTCCGCAATGTAATATCCAACCGCATGAAACCTGTGATGTCGTTTCTGAAACAATTCGGCATATCTTTGGTTCACTAACATTATGTAAGGTAGCTGTGTGTAAAATTTCATATTTCTTATATCCTAAAATAGTGTAAACCTGTAAATTCTCAAATCAATCCACAAACTATAAAAAGACAAAAAACCGAATAGATATCTGTCGCAAGTTATGACGATTCATTCTGACGATTTCATGACTATCTGAATACGATCATAGAACATTTTATTTATGAACTTGGCAATTTATTAATTGCAAATTGTTATAGATGACGCAATGCGTTCCCGCAGTGGCGCCAAATTTCTCAGTGGATGTTTGTTTGAAACGATAGTCCAACTAGTGTGTACACCAGCATCGACACGCATGGTGAGGGGTACAAAGTCAAACCCCATTTATTTCGAAATTTTTTCAATTACAGATTTTAAGGGCCATCGCAAAATAATCAAGTTTCGTGTTAATTCACGATTTTATATATGAATAATACATAACATTTATTATTATAATAATTTCTTATTGCGATCTCTATATAAGAATAGAATAGAATAGAATAGAAATCATTTATTCAAATAAACTTACATTGAAGCACTTTTGAAAAGTCATTACATTTTTTTTAATCTACCGCTCGTTCGGAAAGCTGTCTCATCACAAGAAGAACGAGCAAGAAACTTGCGTGTTGCTCTTTTAAATTAAATTTAAGGATTTATCTTTTAAATTTAAGGATACCTGAAAGTATAAAACATACGAATAAACGTTGATATAAAAAAATCCGTTGCCGTGTGATTCTGGCAAACAATAGGCTATCCCTCCCTTTCCCGTAGATGTAAGAGGCGACTAAAGAAGAATGGTCGAAGGATAGGCAGTAGTTTTCGCTTTTAAAACCAATAATGTCTAACCGCGGTTGCCAATCCGCCTGCCAAGTTTGGCAACTACTGGCAATACCCCCTCTTTTGGAGGAGGCCTATGATCATTAGTGGACAGTAAACGGCTGATATGATGATGATAAAAAGTCTTGGGCGTTATAGTATATTCTGTGCCGTCTTATTTTGTTTATAGTAGCCGACTGTAGTTTTCAATTTCTTAATACGCCAAGTTTTTTGCTATTTTTTATAATACAAAATAATAATAAAAATATGAGATAATTTTAAATATGTCAATCCTTTTTCAGGGCATAAGAGGCTTCTATAAGGGTATCACTGCGTCGTATATGGGCATAAGTGAGACTGTAGTACACTTCGTACTCTACGAGGGTGTGAAGGCAAGACTAATAGCGGCCAGGAGTGTAGACGGTGTGCCGAACGACCAGCGCTCACCAAGGGACTTCATCGAGTTCATGGGAGCCGGTGCCTTCTCGAAGACGGTCGCATCCTGTATTGCATATCCACATGGTAAGACCTTTAACGTATTACCAAATTTACCCCATTATTTAATTGCTTTTTTTTCAATGGATGATAATAAAATGGTAATGGCTATGCCAACCCCAAATAATTTTGAGATTAGGGCAGCAAAATGATGATGATGATAGAAAGAGATGACTAAGTGAATAAAGGACTATATATCCTACTGTAAAAGAAAGAAAAAGAAACGAAATAACATGTACCAAATAGATAATAAGTAATAGTCTGCTCTTATAAAGAGAGGTCCATGATATGTTAATGAGTTACTCCTACCAAATATTATTTCTCACTAAAACGATTTCGTTGTCTTCATTTTCAAACGACTTCAAAAAGAAGGGCGTTCTCGATTCTGTTGTTTTTTTTTTTTGTTTGTTTTCTCATAACTGTCAGTTGTGAACCATATTAGAAATTTCTTTTTTATCTGAAAGGATATACTTTCAGATTGTTCCCGTAGAAGTGTTACCATAATTGGTTCAGTAATTGTTTTTAAATCAAAATAACTGGTTTTCACCACAGTTGAAGTCTGTTTTTTGCAATCTTTATTATTGTTTCTATCATCACGAGACCTATTTTTAACCTCATATGTCATTCTAAATTTTATTGTGTCACAAGAGAGGGCAATATTGTATGAATCTAATATAGCTTAAGCGACACTTGACGACAGAAATTTCTTTTGTATGTCAATTTCAATCTTTAAAGATACTTTGTAATACAGCTATAAAACATTTGGTTGACAGTTGACCTTCGTCACATTACCCTATAAATTAGTATTTCCCGTTATACTTTTTCACAAATTTATTGGAAAAAGATCATATTGATACTGACTTAATAAGCATGGACTTAGTATAACATACTTCATAATCTAAGATAAAACATAACACAATATAAAATTTCTCAAATAACAAAATTGTACTATTTTAAATTAAACTCAGGATCTATCTATAAAAACTTTTACCTACTAAATTCTAAAAGGAGTTGCTCTGATAACTCTGAGTACAGAGTTAATTTTTTTTATGCAACTTATAATGGTAAACAAACTGACGGCTCACCTGATGGGAAGTGGTAACCGTCGCCTATAGACATGAGCAGTACCATGGACATAACAGAGTATACTGTTTCACCCATGATATCCCCCATGCGTTGCCATTCCTGAGGACTCAAGATGTTATTCCTCTGTACTCTGTAAATTCACTGCCATATCCCACCCTTCAAACCGAAACACAGCCATGCAAACACAACTGCTTCACAGTAGAAACACGAATGGGACAGAAATGCTCAAGCAAATGACTTTCGTACAGTATCCCTCTGGTAAATAGACAATAAGATCTACTAAACGACCTGAATTAATTTACTCTGCTATTACAGAGGTAGCAAGGACACGGTTGAGAGAAGAAGGTGACAAATATCGAAAATTCTGGGAGACATTGCACACAGTTTGGAAGGAGGAAGGGTACCGTGGAGTATATAGGTATGAACTATTTACGAGTATACCTATTTATATAATTAAAATAACGGTAAACAAGAAGTCAGGCTCAATCATTTTACATACAAATCCATATTTAACAGAATTTTTATTTATTTATATTGATTATTGAAATAACATCTAGTTATTTGTCTACTTGTATATTTTATTTAAATCTCTTTGTAATCCTATATTTCAATACTATTCTTTATTACTTATTTACAAGAGACTAAATACAAATTCACTTCAGTATTGTTATTGAGAATGACACCTATTATCATATTTTTTAACTGCCCCAGTTATTTATTCAATAATTATTTTCATGCTTGCATTGCCTTTGTCAAATTCATCCAACAGTGAAATTGTATGTTTGCCTCAATAAACAACTACCTCCTATAAACTAATAAAGAAACAGCATAGAATAAATTTTTTTGTCATAGTCAGTAGTATTTAAAAAACCAAATTAAATAAAATATACTGATTTTAGTCAAATATTGTGGGGCACAGCAACTGTTACAAAACTAAGTAATTATAAAGTAAAAATTGATGCAAACAAATCATCTAATTACAGGGGCTTAGGCACTCAATTGGTTCGTCAAATACCGAACACAGCGATCATGATGTCAACATACGAAGCGGTGGTGTATCTGCTAACGACGCATTTCAACAGTTCCTTCTACGAGAACACCTAGCAATCGACTGAAGCCGCGTAGGTCCCAGTGCGACGTAATGCCTGAACCCCGTAGTCTAGAAGTTTGCAACTGAAAATCGAGAGCCAACTCTTTGATGATGCATGTGAAAAGAAGTAGTATCGGCTCGATTTATTTTATAATTATCCTCGAACATTATAGAGTTTTTCGCTTTACTAGTAAACGTTGTGCCACGTCATGTGACTGATTTAAGATTAGTGTTTGTTATAATTTTACGGTCTCGAGGTAGCATAGACATCTCGAAATATCTAATGGTTAATAGAACTTCATAGTGTGTTAAGATGGAAGCAGTACTTAATAAATGTACGTAATTTAATCATAGATATTTTTCTTTTTTCAATTGATAAACATGTTTCAATACAAAAATATATTCTGGCTCGCTAGTGGTAGCATTACAGATGTGGCTTTTCGTTTGGTACATTAACTTAATGCGTAAATACTCGCAAACCAATATGATCGCGACATTGATTGCATCTTTCACTTTATTCCGTTTGTCAAAATGGACAACAGTGTACAGGGCCTAGATAGCGCTATCTTATCATTGGCATCATGATTAATAGAAACCACGAAGAACTGCATATGTAATTAAAATATTTCTTCTCTTTTGTTTGCACGAATATAATCTGTATTTAGTATTGAAATATGTTTATAAATATTTATAATTTGCAATTGAGACTGTAAAGTAATTCTAACAACAAACTACAATGCCTTTCTTTTAATTAAAAATAGAAGGCTGTTTTTCCTAATAATGCTCCAAATAGTGACACCCGAAAAACCATTGTAGTCATAGTTCTAGTCTCACATTCAATATATTATAAACAATTGTCATTTTAATTATTGGTTTATTAAAATACTATTTTATTGTTTTAAAAGTCACATTAATTAATATTACAATGTTAGAATAAAATAATGTAACTTCCAGTCAGACCTACAAAAATTAATTTATCAAGTAACTTCAGAAACTAAATGTTTAAAAAAAAAGCTTTATTTAAACATTTGATTTCTCAAGATATAATTTTGGTATTTGTAGTAAAGTTGGTACATGTTTAAAAAAAATATTTTTTGTTTTCTCACAGACTTTTAAATTGTGTGAGCTTTTGTGGCCATAATTATTTGTTCAACATACTATAAACTGTTGCTCAGTTTACTCGTTGTTCAATATCGTGTTATACTTATTATTCCAGTCCTTTAGCGCACATAGAATGTTGTAAGCTGTGATATAGTACTTGTAAATATTAGTTTGGTGATGATAATATTAAAACACGTGCACACATTTATAGCTCTTAATGTCATTACACACAATAGGGGAAAGTATTATTTCTCTCGTTTTTTATATTCAGTCGATATTTTTTTTTTAAGTCAAAAACAAAATGCAACAAATGATGTAATTGAAATTGTTAATGTTGTAGAATCAAGTAGAAAATTGATTACAAATTGTGCATAATAAATATAACTCTACAGATTTATAAATTGTTAAAATATTTTTAAGGTCAAATGTAGACTGAGTATAAAATACTATTAATTTTGTTTAATCAATAAATGGTCAAAATTATGTATTTGTTTTATTTCATCTTCCTTTTTATTAACAAAAACTAAGATAGTACAGGCTTCAATAAAGTCCGTATAGAAAAGTTCGAAATTATTACCCACATATGTGTAGAAATAGCATTGGGCATACTGCTTGGATATCTAAGCATAGTGGTCAGTGGAAACAGGTCACCCTTCAAAGCTACTATGGGTTCCTGTCGAAACCAAATTACAGACAGAATCATAATTAATGCAACAACAACTTGAAATACAATCTGCACAGAGCTTTTAATAGCTAAACTTTTGCTCATTCGAGATTGTGAATTGTCTTTCAATTCAGATTCAATTTTATTGATTTTGCGTTGAATTTTGGAGTATGCTGCAAACTCTTCTTTCATTGATATAGTCTTCTGAGCAGATTTAAGTTTTTGGATTTCAGCCCACATTGTGCGTTCCTCATTTGATGGTCTAATAAAGCAAGTTACGATCTGAAACAAATGTAGGTATTATAAAAATATGATGAAATAATATGGATGAAAAATAGTCATTATTTATTTGTCAACTACATTCAACTTTGCACTGTTGTAATATTTGTTTGTGTATGTAACTTTTAAAATGTTCAACACATTTTAGTAAGGCTTGTATTTTGCCATATGTTAATTTTTTTTTATTTTTAACACAACACAAAAACCGTTTTGTTTTCTGGCTGAAATATTAAACTTAGATATATGATGTTTGCAGGCTTTTTTGTAAAGTAAAAGAACATATAGAAAGAATTCAGCCTACTTGCTAACATGGCCAGAATGCAGTTGAGACTGGCCTGCACTCTGAAGAGCAGTAGCATCATCATTTACAAATAATGGTGTAGAAACAATCCACATGCATTTTTGCAAACATTCCCTTTTTACTGATGAACAAGGCAGTTCCAATAACACACAGAACATGTTATTATATTGTACTCTTGTATTATATTTATTATTGTATTGCAATTTGAATATTGTAAGATGTTTGAGAATATCTTACCCTCAGTGCTCTGGCACTATTCAGCTGCTATAAATTTTATTCCTTTATTTCAAATTGTTCAGACGGCGCCCACCATATTATAGACTTTGCCAAATTTTAATTATGTTTATTGATATTAATTATTGAAAACTTTTCTAACAATGAAAGAATTTTCATAATCAGTTCAACAAACTCACAAACTTTACCTCTTTATAGCGTTAGTATAGATGACATTATAACAAGAGAATATAGCATTAATTTCAACATTTACTGGCTTATTTGATTAATTTTGTTTAATTCCTCTACCATTAGTATATATGTGACTACCAACACACTACTTATAAAATACATGTATAAATACTTACTGGCTTTACTAGATGCGGTACCAGAGTACTAATAGTGCATAAGATAACAAAATATATCAAAAGGAAACCATTTATAACTTCCAACATCATGAAATTGCACACTTCTGCAAGTTTCTGTCCACTCTAAAATTAGGAAAGCTAAAAAAAATGGAAAATCTTATCAATTATACATTCACATTTGCTTATATATACAGTATTTTAGATACAATTAAATTTTAGTATTCATTTTAATGATTAATGCCATTTACTACAAAAAATACTACCATATTATAATAAATTACAGAACAAAAATTTTAATATGATTACTTTTATATTTTTATTTACTATGCACTATTATTTATTATTTATTGCACAATAAAAAAATTCAAAAGTACCTGATTATATACTTATTGTACTATATACCAATTTATTTTATAATATTTATTTATTTACATTTCAAGAATTTTCGTAAATTTTTGGTTTTATATACGTCAATCAAGAACTGAACCTATTATTAATTATCAATCAAACAGTTAATACGTCATTCAGAATTTCAAATTAACTAGGTCCGCATCAATTCAATCAAAAAATGTTTGTACGTTGTCTATGCTACCAATTTTTATTAATGGGTGATAATGGAATGGTAACCCCATCCGCGCTATCGGTATACACCGGCGAGGCACCAGTGAAGGATGATAGGTGAGGTTGAAGCAGGTCAGTTAGACCATCGTGATGAATTCAACAAGAATTGTTTACAATGGTTTCCAGAGACCACGTGGAGGTCGACCTCCACTTAGTCGACTTAATATTGCTAGCAATGGCGCTGTCAAACTCCATTGCTAATATGCTAGCAGTTTATTAAGTTTGAAAATTTTTGACAATAAAGTAGAACTTTCTAAATTGTTTACAATTTTCAAATTCTATTAATACTAATGTTCTAATTCTACTTGATAGATTTTTTTATAATATTTTGGATAGAGATATAAAAATAATTGCTGGAGGGAAAGCGATTGTTAGTAATAGGATCAAATAGCCCCATTACTAGCAATATACGCTGTCAGGTCGACCTCCACGTGGTTTCCCTTAGAAATCATCGTGGCTAATTCTAGTTGAATTCGTCAGGATGGGTTAACTGACCTGCTTTCATCCTCATAAGTCATCTATCACGGGTGCCCCGCCATTATATACCGATAGCGCAGACGGGGTTACCATACCATTATCACCCATTAAAAAAAATAATTACTGTGAAATACTACGAATATTCATCTAATTGGTCGCATAGATAAATTGTTAGTTTCGTTAGCAGAAAGAGTGTCAATCCTGCTCAAATAATGTGCGTGCGTGACAGTGACAGGAAAGATTGACTGACAGCACTTAAGTTCTGAAAGTCCCAAAAAGCCTAGTAATTAAATTATCCACATTTACCTACTTATCTACTCATATATTATGGTATTGTTTACTTTTATTTTAAAAAAATTAAAATAACCTCTAAAATCACCTCAACAATCAAACTTGGTTACAATTAATGGAAATTGATAGCCACGTGCTTTACAACTCAAACTGAATATGGTTTATGGTAATTTTGTAATGATAATTGAAAATAGAGATAACAGGTATTTTATTTGATCAAATTATCCAAATATACATTATCAGATATGGAAAATATTGTTTTTTTGGAAACCAATTCTACTTCTGATAATTATAAACAATCATATCAAATATCCTTGCCATTGCAGTCATATATAATTTATTGCATTTATAAATACTGTGCTCCAGATGAGGTAGACTTGTGTTTTGTCTCTATACCATCTTCAGAGAATGAAATAACACTTGATTTCTGTGAGGAAAAAGTTAATCTTCATTTTACTAATCTGAAAGATGTTCCTTGGCAAGTAAAATCTTGTGCATTTCCTGTAACTTTATATGGAGACACTATCATCACTGGTTTGTGTGCAGTGGCTAGACACATATGTAAGTACCGCACACAAAACCAAAGTTCATTTGAACATGAAGAAGGTTTGCTTGGATTTAGAAAAGGTTGCTTGCAGGCACCCAATGAGGTTTCAATATGGACAAAATTCTGCGAAGTAGATTTATTGAGAACCATAAAAGAATGTCTAAGTACTGAAAAAATGTGTGTACTACCAAAAAACATGGTCAGATTTGAGAACCATCTTAGGAAGCCGGTAAGAGTACACAATGTTTATAAAGTAGCAAGAGATATAAAGAAAGAGACATTAAAAAAAATTGATGATGATAGAAAGATAGCGAAGGAAGTTACATCAATATCAGAAAATACTAGAACGTCTAAGACCAGGAAATGGAAATCTAATATTAAAAAACAACTAGAAGTAGATTGCTCTATCAAAATAGAGGACTTAAACATCAGTCACCAATTTGCCGAGGGTCCCTTTTTCACTTTAGCTGATCTAATTTTACTTCCTTCTTACTATATTATAGCACAGTCATTTGGTACTACTTTTGAATCAGTTTTACCATTGACATCTAAGTGGTTTACAAATGTTATGAACATACCTGAGATACAAACAATAAAATCTGTACTGGATGGGATCAGGAAACATTCAATATTGCTTGAAAACTTATCTGTACCTACAACAGATGATGTCAGTTTGTACAAATGTGATCCAAAAAGGCAAAATCCAAAGAAAAGATTATTTACCAAACCAGATGACATAGAAAATGCTTTGAGTACACTGGTAGAGGGCATGGAATTAAATGTAAAGAATATTCCTTTCGATTCATGTATAAATTGGAGTGACATACCCGATGGTGCTAATCCTACAGCGGGTCATTTGCCTGATGAGAGAGTTACCAGGAAATCTCAGCAGCTTGAAAATCTAGCATTAGCCGTTTTAAATATAGCAAAAGAAGGGGATGTTATTGTGGACTTCTGCAGTGGCAGTGGTCATTTGGGGATTCTAATTGCTTACCTATTACCTAAATGTACAGTAATATTATTAGAAAACAAAGAACAATCACTTTTGAGGGCAAGACAAAGGGTGCATGATATGGGTCTAAAAAATGTACTTTTCTTTCAGTGTAACCTTGATTTTTTTATTGGTAAATTTGATATAGGCATTGCTTTACATGCCTGTGGTATAGCAAGCGACCTAGTTTTGGACAAGTGTTTGAAAGTCAATGCTAAGTTTGTTTTGTGTCCATGTTGTTATGGATCCCTGCATGCTACAGATAGACTAGTTTATCCTAGGAGTTGTAAGTTTAGTAATGTCACCATTGACCAGTATTTATGTATTGGTCATGCGGCCGATCAAACTCATAAGGAACATCCATTAACCATTAGAGGTGCTAGATGTATGGCCATTATAGATTCGGACAGAGGCAGATTAGCTGAAGAGTTTGGCTATACAGTCACACTCTCAAGATTAAAACCTCTTTCGTGCACACCTAAAAATAATTTACTCATAGGGGTCCCATCCTAGCAATAAAACTATTAAATTAGATTATAATTTTTTTTATTTAAGTATATAACAAAATTCTGAAAATATATTTTGTACAAAATTAAGTCTTTGATTTACCAACCTTCTTATAACAACACTTGATGTAAAATAAAAAACTAATCCTTGGAAACGTCAGATAATCACTGAAGTATGTAAAATAGGAATTTTTTACTTGTAATCTCCTAAGGTATATGAGCTCCTAAAGTTTAAGATTTAAATACGAGATGTAACAAAAATAGTTATAAATATCCAAAATCAAACAATTTCCCCGAAAGAATGATTGTCTAAGTATGAATCTAATTAAACACATAGATTTATTTTACACCCGATAGTCTTTGTATATTTTAACAGCCATTATTACAATATTTATATTTAACAGTCTATTAAATGGGTTTACATTATATATCTAATAAAAGTAACAAGCTTTAATAAATGTAAATATAATAAACTATGGTCGTGCATATATTATTGCGGTGCGGCAAGGAATGTATACCTGAAACACAACAATAATTTAAATACCGTTAGCTGTAATTTAATAAAAAAATTACATTCGATAAACATATTTCAGTGAAAATAAGTTCAGGTCATGGCTTCTCGTTTGCAGATTAACAAATCAACATATTTAATAGTGTTTACCATTTTCGATTAGTTATTTGCAAATATTTAATATCTTCGTGTATTATATCTTTTTTTATATATGTTATTGTACTGATGATTTCCTGGGTGAGCGTATTGGAAGACTGTAAAGCTTACCCAGTAGATGTAAATACCCAGTAGATGTATAAATAAAAAATTCTACTTTCCAACATGGAAAAGAACTGATTTAAAATTTTATTAGGATGGTTGCGTACAGCGTAGTCTCAGAAATGCTGTCTCTTACGAACTATGAGGTTATAGAATGAGCTCCCTGTCAAAGTTTTCCTAAGAGGCTACAGTATGGGGTTTTTCAAAAAAAGGGGTAAGAGGTTTTTTTAGAGTCGGCAACAAACGTTCATAGATTACGGTAACCGCTTATTATCAGGTGGGCCGTATGCATGTTTGCCACCACAGTGATTTAAAAAATGTTATAAAAAAAATACCCATACCTGGATTGAATCATTTCTATTATTCCATGGTATACCCTGTGTCATATGGTTTCCACCGTTCGGTTCCACGCGTCCAAAACCACCATATTTCGTGCTGTCTGAACACAGCACAACCTTGAAAAGTAAGAATCGATATACCTAATGTAAACTACCTATTGTAGACTTAAGTTTATTTTAGAAGTTGGAGTAAATTTACAAAAATAGTTAAGACTCGGAATAAAGGGGAAAGGGGGTGAAAGATTGTTAGTAATGGGGATTGGTAGCAACATAGGGTACATTATTAGTTCGACCTCCTCGCAGTCCCCTGGATACTATCATACTAATTCAAGTGAATTCATAACAGCTGACCCCTCACTTTATTATACATTTTTTTATAATGAAAATACCCCGATTCAATTTTTTAAGAGTCTACAGTAAAGTATTTTTCTGAACTTTACTGTAGACTCATTCTACAAGCATATTTAAGTTCATATAATGTCTAAAAGTGAGTATTACTCTAGTACCCAAATATGCACGTTTTTGGCCTTAAATATAGATTAGAAATTATGGACGATTCCGAGTAGTATACAAAGCATCTTGTGTTCATGAGGTCTCTTGTTTGATTCTCGGTTAGACCAAAAGAAGAATTTTATAAATTTTCCCAGATCTAGATACTCTGAGCTGTGCTCTCAAATTCATTTGTTGGTATTCTCGTAATGCAAGATATTCCAGCTTGAGACCTAGACAAATGGGATCATTATGTGACTCCACTTTATATTGATATGTATTATTATTAAAAAAAGAAATCTGACTAGTTAATTCTTAATTTTGTAAAATTATAATATAAATAAAGCTTTAACCCTGAACACTTAGGTATATTTAATGTAGATAGTACATGTTACTCACTCGGTAGTTTCCTGGCTCGTTAACGCCCACCCTGTAGTCAGTGAAACTCTGGTCTGGGTGAAAGTTAAACATGAATAGTACGCCGGCGCGTTCGAACGCTATCACTTTGTCGCCCTCATGTTTACATGACACGTATGCCTGTGGATGTAGAAATAAACATAATATTTTACTAAAGAATATACTTAGGTATTTCTTAAACTTAAATTTTATTTAAGAAGTACCTATAAGACCCTGTCTCATGGTAAGTGATAACTAATACATGGATGTAAACTGTATTACGGAGAGCTAGCGATCCGCTGCGGCTTTGTATGGGTAGATAAATAGAAAAATAAATTAATATTTTATATTAGCTTTAATTGTCGAATGATGCCGACATACAATGGGCCATTTCTTCCTTTCCCATGGGTGTCCTAAGAGGCGACTAGGGGAACTTAATAATCGGAGATTGGCAGCAGCGTCCCTCTAAAAAAACCAAAGGCTAACTGCGGTTGCCAATCTGCCTGCCAAGCATGACAACTACTGGAAAAACTCTCCTTATGGGGATGGCCTATGTTCAGCAGTGGACAGTTAATGGCTGAAATGATGATGATGATGATGATTAGCTTTAATAAGCAAAATTTTATATTTTCAATTACATTATTGTATTTTGCGTAGGAATTTCAAATTTTTTTTTTTTGAAGATAATATATAGCCTATGTTAGTCGTTGAGAAAATATAGCTTTCTATAGATGAAAGATTTTTTTAAAGCAGTTTTTATATACATATATTCATTTTTATTACGTTAACTTATTTATAATAAATGAAAGTAAAAAAATCAAATCTTTCTTATTTATAATGTGGTTACTGTTTAATCTTAGAAATGTTGTTTGTTTGACTTTGACACAAGAGGGAGACTTTGTACAAAAGTCGATTGCTTGGGTACCTCTGTCCCATTCGTGTTTCAACCGTGAAGCAGTTGTGTTTGCATGACTGTGTTTAGTTTTGAAGGGTGGGATATGGTGTGAATTTATTGGGTACAGAGGAATAACACCCAAGTCCTCAGAAATGGCAACGCATGGGGGGTATCATGGGCGAAACAGTATACTCTGCTATGTCCATGGTACTGCTCATGTCTATAGGCGACGGTTACCACTTTCCATCAGGTGGGCCGTCAGCATGTTTGCCATTCTAAGTTGTATAAAAAAAAAAAGACTTACCGGATCTGAGCTAAGCCAGCCGTATCTCTCTTCAAGATTGTTCATGTCCTTATCGAACTCATTCAGGTACTTATATTTGAGAAGCTGATCATCCACGAGGTGCCACTGTCTGCGCGCGTAGTGATAAGATGAATTGTTACCTGCGCGCGGGAAGTCTAGCCACTCTGGATGGCCGAATTCATTGCCTGCAATTACAAAGCAAAAAAATAAAATTAAAATGAAAACTAGACGTAAATACAAAGTAGTTAGAATACCAATATAATTCAGATTGTGTTCAAAACTAAACTATGGAACTGATTTTGACAAAATTTCTATGGGACCAATTTGTGTCCTCTCATATAACAGTATACTCTGTTATGTCCATGGTGCTGCTCATGTCTATAGGCGACGGTTACCACTTTCCAACAGGTGGGCCGTCAGCTTGTTTGCCATTCTAAGCTGCATAAAAAAAAAATAGATTTTTCCAAATCGATTTATAACTGACGGAGTTATGTAGTAACAAACATAAAAAAAATACAACCAAATTGGAGGGAAAGGGATTGTTTGTAATGGAGACTGAGAATCCTATTGCTAGCAATATACCCAATCTGGTCGACCTCCTCGCGGTTCCCTCTGGAAACTATCATGGTTAATTCCTGATGAATTCATCATGATGGGCTAACTGGCCTATTTTCATTCTCATCTTTCACCCTTCACTGGTGCTTCGCCAGCGTATCCCGTTAGCACAGGCGGGGTTATCATACCATTTTCACTCATCAAAAAAAAATAGAATCAAATTGAGATTCTCCTTCTTTTTGATGTTGATTGAAAATAAACACACACAAATTGTAAATATATATATATATATATATATATATACATACATACATAAATACATACATATATATATATATATATATATACAATATATATATATATATATTTAATGTATGTGTGTATGTAATTATATATATAAATTTATTTACAAGAAGAAATAATAACAAAATATTACTTAATTCAATATAACATTAAAAAATTTAAAAATATATATATTTAAAGATAAAAAATTTCTTTGAGAAATTGTATTAATTATTATATTTTTGTTATAAATTTGTATGGCAGTATTACCTATGAAATTGAGATACGCTTCGCCTCCAAGGGCGTGAGTAATAAGTCTGATCATGCAGTGCAGCGCCAGTCCGCGCTCGACGATGGCGCTGGACTCGCTCAGCGTGCTCATGTGGGTGTACATAGCAGCGTCCATAAGCCAGAATGCGATCGTTTTATCACCTACCAAGGCCTGTGAATTATTAATATGTTATTTTATATATTTCAAAGTATCTATTTCTTTGTGCATTTAAATAACTAGTTAAAAGTATTCATCTTAGATTATATAGATAGAGCATTAAGTCTTAAAAACGAGTCAACTTTTTGTCAGCTAATTCTCAAATTAGCCGACTTGTTTTTTTATCAGTGTTCTATATACTTACACATACAATGTATCTTGACGTATCTATATTTAATTATTTAATAAATAAAATGAGTTTTTACGCATCAAAAAGATACAAAAAATTATAAAATCAAAATAAATATAGAAGTTATAAAGGAAACACTCATAAATATTTATCAGGCAAAATTATATAAAAAAGTTAACCTGCTTTATACCCGAATAGGGGAAATAGAAATAAAATAACCTGATCATGGCTCTCAGCGTACGCGACGGTGCCTTCCATCCAGCGGCGATTGGTGAGAGTGTGCACGATATGGCCCATCTGCCAGTTTTCGTCGCGTTCCTCCTTTAGCAACTTTATCCACATATCCGGAATCGCCATGCCTAGACGGTAGTCAAATCCGCTACCACCTTCATCGACTGGCCGGCAAATTGCTGGCATACCTGACACGTCCTAGACAAAGTGAATGGACTATTTTAGTAACAATAATAATTTATTTGGCTAGAAACATAGTTACATAATTTGATGTTACAGTTTGTTTTACAATGTTGACTATGTTTCGTTATATTTAATAGCATACAAATTATTTACTTTTTTTATATCATCATCTTCCTACCCTTATCCCAATCATTTGGGGTCGGCGTAATATGATTTTATCCATATTACAAAAAGATTTGGTTTTTAGTTTTACGACCGGCCACCTGCCTGACGTCAACCCTCTTTGGGATTTACTTTTTTTATATATAGAGTATAAATATAAATTAAAATCTTATGTTACCTTTAATAAGCAAAATTTTGATACTTTTGAAAATATATACTCATATTATTGTAAGTCTATGTTACATGCTGAAATTTAACCTTTCTATAGATGAAATAATTTTTAAAATAGATTCGAGTAGATTTCGAATTTATCGATTATAAAAAAAAAAAAACATATAAATATTAGTACAGACAGAGAGAAAAATATTCATTTTTCAAATCCATAGAGATAGATATGACACGAAATGGAGTGGTTGAGCAATTTCTCGTAAAAGTGATTTGGTATTTTTAATACTAAGTGTAATAAGTACTGGCTTCAGGGGAAAAGGTGCAGTCGGGCAACGCCCTGTAATGTCAATATGTTGGTATTTTGTTCAACGGATTTCGTGTGACTTTTTTCATCGTTGTGGGATTTCGTTAAAGATTTGCCTAGGAGTACCAGGTAGGCTAAGGACTGGGTTCAATCCGCTAAGTTCTTGATTTTTTTACTCACGTATGAAGCTGCACAATACGAATGAATGTATATGAACGCCAACCCACCTCTGCAATAGTGATGGCCCTGCTATCAATCTTGTGTGTAATTTCGTTGGCTAGCATGAGGTACACAAGTGCCTCAGTATCCACATTGAGGCCGTAATATTCGTCGTACTGGCCAGAGAAACCTTCACCGATGCCACGACTGTGGTACAGCATCGAGGTCACGCCATCAAACCTATGAAGAAATTAGATATATATATTTTTTAAAGATGATAATAGAATGGTAACCCCGACCGCGTTATCAGTATACGCTGGCAAGGTACCATCCAAGGTACGACCCATCGGATTCCCCCACCCTCCTTTAAATACCCCTGTGGTTTATTAGCTTTCATTACGTTTAGGTAATATAAATACTTTAGGGTACTTCAGTTCTTTACAAGACGACATACGATTTTTTAATTGTATTTATATACAATAAATACACATTATTATATTACTTACCTAAAGCCATCGAACTGGTATTCTTCTTGATACCATCTTAAATTAGATAGCAGGAATCTTAAAACCTCAGTTCTGAAATTGAGACCGGAAATATTGAAATTGTTAGAAAACTGTTATCAAACCAAAAAATTAGGTTGCACTATGGTGTAAGTGGTAAAGGTATAATTTTAGGTACTTAGGTACAATGTATTAGAGTTAAATTGTTCAGCATCGGATAACATGTGATGATTAAATTGGTTAAATAATAGACTTAATATAACGTAATTACGTATACTTTATAATTTAAGAGTAAAAAATAAGATCAGAAAAAAAAAATCCCGTTACAAAATATACCGTATCTTTGGATGTTGAAATATGAATTTTTTAATGAAATAAATCTTAATAAATACTGACTGGCTGTTATAGCTGTTTAATGAGAAAAAAGACAAGTAAAACTGAAAAAAAAATTACTCAGAATAGTTGAAAAGTCTGCTGTCCCACAGTGAGTGCGTGCCCCTTGGTCCATCGTGGAAGTAGCACGAGTTGGTGCCGTCGAACTCGTTCAGCCCGTCCAGCGTGTTCTTAGAGGCGTGAGAGTGTACAACATCCAGTAGTACATACAGGCCCAACTCGTGGGCGCGGTCGATCAGCTGCTTGAGTTCACACGGTGTACCATAGCGACTGAAAACGAACATTAATCCATAACTACCACTCGTATAGAGGGCGCTCTCTCATGTTAAAGTTCCATGTTATATATACCTATACGAAGGGCTACAATATAATTTACTAATATTATAAATGTAAAAGTTCGTAAAGATGTTAGTTTGTTAACTCAATGTCGCTTGAAATATTTTAAGTAAAATTTAGTACCTACACGAGTAGGTTATATCCTAACTTAATACATACGATACTTTTTTTTTATTTATTTAAACTTTAATGCACTGTGAAATTCTATGTACGTTTTGCGGAGTTAACACTGGACGGTAAAGTATTTCAATTTAATATAAAGTAATATATTATAAACATACTAGCTGACCCCGTAAACGTTGTTTTACCACTTATTGTGAAATATAAAAAATCGCGATTAAAATACAGGGGTTGATCGTAAAACGATGAAAATTTAAAGTTGTATGTATTTTTTAATGCTAAATCATATTTAAATAAAAATAAAAAAAATTGTCAAAAAAATAAAAAAAAAAATTTAGGAGTGGGTCACCCTTAACATTGAAGGGTATAAAAAATAGATGTTGGCCGATTCTCAGACCTACCGAATATGCACACAAAATTTCATGAAAATCGGTAAAGCCGTTTCGGAGGAGTTTGGTAACAAACACCGTGACACGAGAATTTTATGTATTAGATAATTAGACTAATATAAACATACAAATAATATGTTAAATAAATAAATACATAAAATATTACTATAACAAGTAATTAACTGTATTAGAAGAGCAAATAAAACATATATATTAAATTATAATACTAGCCGTGCTTGCCTTATCCGGTGCTAAAATATAACATAAACTTATGTTTTTCTCCGTTTTAAAATACAGTATATACATTTAATATAAGTCAGGACTACTAGGTAAATATATATACCTGCTTGCTGCGAAGAAACTGGTAACCTGATAGCCAAAAGAGGCGTAATATGCGTGTTCCATAATCGCCATGAGCTGTATAGCATTATATCCTGATAACAATAAAATTGTTTAATACATAAATTATTTCATTTTAAATATAACCTATATGCTAGGGTATATAGGGGGGGGGGGGGATTGTTAATAATGCGGACTACCAGTCTCATTGTCAGCAATATGCCCAAAAAGGTCGACCTCCACGTGGTCCTCCCTGGAAACCATCGTGTTGAATTCCAAGTGAATTCATCACGACGGGCTAATTGACTTGTTTTTTCATTCTCAAGTGTCATCTCACTGGTGCCCCGCTAGTGTATACCGATAGCGCAGACGGGGTTACCATTCCATTATCATCCATTAAAATACTAGGGTACATTTGCTAAAAAAGAACTTAAAATATAATAATTTTTAAACATATAATAAATATAATATTTTATAAATTCTCAGCGGATACAACGGGGAATTTCGTGGTCTGCGTACAAATCTACGTTTACGCAGATCCTAAATAACTTGACTTAATAAGACTTCTTAGGCGCAAAGGAAAGTATTTTGTCTGCAGATAACAGACCTATATAATGCATAATAGATTATAAAAAAAAAGAAACTAAAAATACTCAGTAAAGTAAGAAAATGTTGTCATGAAAAACAATGAAAGTAAATAAAGTTTAAATTAAATGAATAATAATAATAATGAGTCATTAATATTACTGACCTTGATTCTTTATTCTAGGCAGTACATTATCCCTGAATTCGTTGTATGTACCAACTCTGCCTTCAGGTGTGGCGATGCCAACGTGTGATTCATAAATACGAAGTGATTTCGGCCTAGGAACTTTGGGATTTTTAAATTGATATGGCTGAAAACATAAGGACACGAGAATTTTAGTGTAATGTATAAATTTAATAAGTAGATAGTAATATAGGTACATATATTTGATGAACATGTCATAATCATCATCATTAAATGTTCACCATAATAATAATTTAAGTTTTCAAACAAAAAAAATCAGGGCAAAACCAATTATTTAATTTTTTTTATACTACTGACGTGGCAAACGAGCATACGGCCCACCTGATGGTAAGCGGTTATCGCAGCCTATGAACGCCTGCAATACCAGGGATATTACGCGCGCGTTGCCGAAAATAAAAACAAACCTACTGAAACAATTTTAATAAATTTGATAGAACCAATCTGAAATTATATACCTTTTTGATAAAAAAGATAATTTTTCAAATTGGATTATAAATGATAGAGTTATGAGGTAACAAACATGTAAATAAATATAACTGAATTGAGAATGTCCTTCTCTTTTGAAGTTAGTTGGAGAAAGTCGTATGGATGTTGTATTTTGCGTGGGTAATTAGAAACACCAGTTTTAAATTATATAAATACAGCAATGAGTCTTAAAAACGGATCAACTTTTTGTCAGCTAATTAGCTGACTCGTTTTTTTTTATCAGTGTTCTATATATTTACGCACATAATGTATCTTGACGTATCTATATTTAATTATTTAATAAATAAAATGAGTTAAATTTTTACGCATTAATAAGATGCAAAAATTATAAAACAAAATAAATACAGAAATTATAAAGGAAACACTCATAATTATTTATCACGCAAAATTGTATAAAGTTTGATCCGCTTTTCTCGAAACACTTGTATGAAGACACTCTATATAATCTAAGCAAACAACATAATTAGGCCCAAGTCGTGGGCTATATTTCCAAATACGTTATATATTTATTTTTTAATAAGCAATTAACTCTATAAATATGCCAATATTTGTTTTTGCGATTAAAATAAAATTTAATTATATGAATACTATATTATTTCAAGTAAGTATTACAAAAACAAGTTTAGTTTGAGAATGTTTTCGGGTTAGCACAATAAAAACATAGTTAAATTATCAATTTGTAAAGATAACGTGTCATAATCAAACTTACTCTGTCTGGTTTATAAATAAACTGCTGATAGGTGAAACCTTCGAACGGCTTTACATAGCTGGCCCATGGCGACACTCTGTACAAATTATCATTGACGATAAGCTGAACTCGCGTGTCGTGTTTTAAAGGGCACGAACCGTCAGGATTTGCGGTGATGTGGAGCTCCCATTTCCCGTATTCTAATCTTTTAAACGGATGACTCTTGGGATTCCATCCATCTGAAATGAATGGATAATATGTATTTGTAGCAGAGGAAGACGATGCTTATCGCCAGCTACAATATATCATTATCATATCAGCCGTAACTGTCTCCGTTAAACATGGGCCTCCCATTTGGGTGTTTGGCTAGAAGTTGCCACGTCAGGGTTGGCAACCGCAATTAGGTTTCTAGTGATGTTTTAATAGGGACGCTACTGCCCATACCTCGACCATAAGTTCCCTGATTCACTTCTTACGATACCCATGGGAAAGGAAGGAGTAGCCTATTCTATGCCGGGACTACACGAGATATTATAATATATACATAAGCTTATATAAAGGGGACTGTGTAGGCTGTTTCCCACTCTAGAATTGTCTTGTGTCCACCCCAAGATCCGAGCGGAGCCTTATGTACATATATGCCTCTTTTAAGGGACCAAGCCTCCCCTGAAAAATAATCTTAAATACGACAATAGCTATATAAATGTTTAGCTATAATTCGCTTTGGCAATGCGAATTAGACGGAGGATGTGATCTGGTCTATCTGTGTACAAAATTTCATTACAATCTATTTAGCCATTTAAGCCTAATTTAGTAACAAATATTGAAATACTTTTACAAACGTTCGCATTTGTAATATTAGTGGGAAAATATTTTAAGAAATATTTGATAATTCGCGTGCCTAGTGGTTGGTAAGTTACTTTGCGATAATGAACTCTCAAATTCGATTTTTCTTCCAGTAAATACTACGAGTAAGTATTGGGCTGCAAAAGATTCATATTATTGTTCTATTACAGTTCAAAACATTATGTCAGAAAGTACTGCCTTTGTCTAAAATTAGATAATACTGGCATTGTGGTGCTTTGTTAATAAAGAATACCACAGAGGAGAGATTCGAATTTTTATAGGGATTAAGACTCCTGTAAGCAACATATCTTGTCGGGTTCTCTATTGATCCTCATCTATCATCCCTTACGCATTAGCGTAAGCTAATAATGCAGGCGAGGTTAATTTCAACAATAACTTCATAGTAAATACGTACTAAATTCTCCTTGAAGGTGTATAGAATGAGCCCCTGGAGCCCATTCGCGCCATGTTACGGACCCATCATTGTTGTATTGTGGTCCGAAGTAATTGTAACCTTTTGTGAAGTCCTCCAGTCCGCCTTCCCACGATTCAATTTGATTCCAAAGGTCTTTAAAGCATCCATATCTATAAGTTTATATAATATACTGAGCAGGTATAATAACTATATATATAGTGGGCGAAAGAATTGTTGGTAAAGAGAATGTCCTCCATTGCTAACAATATACTCTGTTAAATTGAAGTCCACATGGTCCTCCCTGGAAACCATCGTGGTTACGTCTTGTGGAATTTATCGTGATAGACCAACTTACCTGTTTTCATTCTCACCTAGGTGGGGTTAATATACATTATCAATCATTAAAAAAGAGCTACTCTTTATTTTCACCTATCACAAAGAGTATATTATCAAGGGAGTCTATCTATTATTCACTAGTGCCTCGACAGTATATACCGAAAGCATATACCGGTATATGTTTGCGGTTTTAATTAGGCCAGGTGTGTTAGAATAAAAAAGATCTTATTTCTCTGTCTTAATCTAGGTTTATGTCTTTCTCTGTATCGAAATTTTGAAGACACTTTAAATGTCTTTGAGTAAAATACATGCAAAAATCCAATTTGAAACGTTCACAAAGTGCTATTAATAGTTGCCCATGTACTTCTATACTTCACGAGTACATGTTATCAAATTTAACGACGATCGCTTGAGCCGTCTAAGTACCAAGCTCACTTATATTATAATACTTGTCATTTCGTCATAGTCGTAGAATACTGACGGATATATATATTTAATATTTACGTCAGTTTTAATAGATCCGTCAGTATTCTACGACTATGACGATTTATAAGGATTTTTTTGAATAATATAGCTTCTATTTGTTTTGAAAAATCCTAATTAGCCCGAAAATCTGAATACGAGTTGGCAACATTGAATATTATGAAGTACTATGACCTTCCATTTGACATTGCAAAAACAAGAATCGCAGCGCTTCCAGCGCTGAATAAATCATAACTTCTATAACAAAATACAACTACATATTTGTAGCAATGAAACTTTTATTTTTGTTATTTTAATAGATGTAAAGACCACACTTCCTTTTATTAACATGATATTAGTAGAGGTTGTATTATAATTTTATTTCGAAATGTTGATAAAAGTAAAAATGTAGTTGCCTACTTATTTTATCGCCATTCGTAAATCTAGCGCTTTATAGCTATATTTTTGTGTTGATTAGTAAACACTACGTTGTGTGGGGTACAAAACTAACCTATAGCTAAAATGAAAACAAAGATATTTTTTAACTATGAATTTAAAGTAGATAGTATTGTTAAAATTAAAAAGACATAATTATGACTCACCTGCGACGAATTTCACGTTCATAGGGCTTCAAATAACTATCACGTTGTAATAATTTCTCTATGTCCGGAACGGGAACTTCCATCGGATCCATAGCAGAATACTTACCACCCATTATTTTATATCTATAGATATGTGGTGTTGCGGTAAGAAATCGAACTGCGCACGCGCCACACAACCGCGCGAAATGATATCTATCTCTTGTTTAAATGAAATTAACAAAATGGCAATAGTTACGTATTATAAGCGTTTTTCACGTATATCACTACTATGAATTTATAAATACTGGCTGGAAAGTAATAGTGATCTTGTTAAGTAAACAATGATTTCTCCACAGTATAAGTAATGAGACTAAATATTTTACTGAATCCTTTTAATAAAAGTGGCGTAGGTAGGTAGATAAATTTTCTATATTTTTTACGTTATTACATTAGTAGCAACTTTGTGTGATGAAACGGATATCCGGCAACCGGCTGGATACCGATGTTCAAAAACTATGTTTAAAAATGAACTTTAGTAAATAATTCTTCATAAAGAAATGAAGTAAATAATAATATCATAGCTTTTTTTTTAAATATGAAAAAGAAACAAAAATATAAGATAAATATAACGTATTAAATAAATAACTATTTTAAGTGACTTCAAAAATCTGAAGTTCTTAATTTGTCTAAATATTATGATCATATTAGTCGATTATTCGACATTTAGATTTACTCCTGTGGTGGCCCCATATTAATAAAATTTTGTTTTGATTGAAGTTGCGGTTTTTCTTTGTATCAAATTGTCACTACTGACTGTTTATTAACGCGGACAAATGTTCCGTATTTTAAAAGTTACCCTCTTATATTATAAAATTTTTCGAGTCATTCTCTGCAGCTTCTAATCGTAAATTTTGGTCCTTATGAAATCTATAAAATCAACATCATATTTAGCGTACGTAGCGTATAGGTTACTGCTGGTCTATTGGATATTCCCACTTCAAGGCTCTCATATGTGTACATATAATCTTAGATTATGTAGAGCCTCGAGCCTCTAAAACAGGTCAACTTTTTATCAGCTAATTGTCAAATTAGCGGACTCGTTTTATTATAAGTGTTCTATATACTTACGCACATAATGTATCTTGATGTATCTATATTTAATAAATGACTTTTTAGGCATTAATAAGATGTAAAAATTATAAAACAAAATAAATATAGAAGTTATAAAGGAAACACTCATAACTATTTATCACACAAAATTTTATGAAATTGTAAGAAAGTTGACCCGCTTTTCTCGAAGCATTTGTATGTATGTCTCCATATTAATGCTCTATCTATATAATCTAAGATTATAATATATAGTTTTTGTACCTATAATTTCCTCACAAACAGTTACTTAAAGATATCTAATTATTATCAATTAATAATGCTTTGCGATGTAGTAAAATATGTTAAGTATGATTATGACCTTAGGGTGATTTCGGGCATCACTGCAACAGATAGCGTGTAGTTACAAAACGTGACTTATACATCTGGAGTGAAATGAATATAGAATGATTCGTGAATGATAAAAAAATATGTAGGTATTTTTATAAAGGTGTAAACACAAAGAAATGTATACATTTATCATACATATTTTTTATTGATAATAATGGATCGGTAACCATTGTACTGTATGATTGGTATTGATACACACTGGCAGGGCACCAGTGAGGGATGACAGGCAATGATGAAGTAGGTCAGATTGCATATCGTGACGAATTCAACAATAAATCAATTCCGATGGTTTCCATAGAAAATGGCGTGATGAAGGTTGACCTTATAGGATATATTACTAGCAATGGCGCTGTTAAATATCATTGTGAAAGTGAAAAAGACTCCATTTTCTGCGCTTAGCCTCTCACTTGGGCCATTGTGCGTATTAAATATCATTATTAACAATCCTTTTACCCCCGGTGACAATGGATTACAAAAAATAAATAATAATGAAATAGTAACCCCGCCTGCACTATCGGTATATGCTGGTGGGGTACCAGTTAGTGTTGATACTCATTATGAATAATTCTTGTCGAATATGTCAATCATGATGAATTTAACAAGAATTATCCATAATGATTTCCAGGGAAACCTTGCGGAGGTCAACCTAATAAGGTATACTGCTTGCAATGGAGATTGTAAACCCCATTACAAGGGAGGAAAGATTGTTAATCTTTCCTCTCCTGCCATACACAATTAGGTAAATTTTTTACAATCTACCTGAGCCATTTAGTAATATGCCCTGTCAGGTCGACCTCCATGTGATTCCCCCTGGAAACCATGTGCTGAATTCCAGGTGTATTCATCACAATGGGCTAACTGACCTGCTTTTTATTTTTACCTATCAACCTATCATTCCTAACTGGTGCCTCGCCAGCATATATTGCACAGGTGGGGTTACCACTTCATTATCATCCATTACAAAAACCTGGACCAATGACATATGATATGATTTTTTGTGATGGTCCATTTTTTAATGAATAATGTCCACTATCATATTTGTTTTATAAGATTGACATCTGTTTTGTGCTTTGCTAATAAGATATCTGTCACATAAAATATCTGTCACTCTTATATCCCTATCCATCGTTATATGTATTTGTCATGTCTGCAATCTATGTCTGAATATAAACTTATTATTGAAAGAAATCATAGCTACTCTCCTGTGGCTGTAGATTAATATAGTCACATCACAATGAACGTGAAATAGACCATTGTTTCACTGTGGAATAAGATGCCATCTTTATATTTGATATACGAAAATTGCAGTGGCTGGTGTTAAAAAAACAGGAAGGCATTATACATAGAGGTTCTATAAGCTATACAGCTTCAGTTGAATGTCATTAATACAAACAATATATTTTGGTTCCTATGAGTGCCATAGACATGGTATTAATATGTTAGTTGTTATTATTATTATCAAATATATATAATCTGTGAAATACCTATTTATTCTTATTCAAAAGATAACATGATGTTTTTTGTAATTTTCAGAGGCTTCAAAAATATAGCTCTATTTTCAGATAAGATTATACCAAGATATGTTATTGTAGGTAGGAATATATATTTTTTTATAAAATGAAAGTTACAATAACTATAATAAATATTTAATGTAACTATGCAATGTTCTTAACTACTTAAACTTAAAATGTGTATAAGACACTAAAATATGTCTGATCCAGTTTTCTTTGCTCTTGCAACAGCTTCTTCTGGTTGGAGTTTCTCTTCCTCGGATGGCTCAAGTGGCATTCCATCTGCATCTAATTTGCCTTGTTTAAAATCTGTGACAACTTTTTTACTGTATACGGCGTCAAACAATTGTTGTGCTGTAAACTCACTTTGTATGACATTATCTGCTTTATATGTAACATAGGGTTTTAAATTACAATCTTTTAGATCTGGCACAATAAGCTCTGGTATCATTTCGGGAACTTTAATAAATTGCTCGCCCATATAATATCCTGTACTGCGGACTCCACGGTTATCTATTTCAAATTCCGCCTGCGGTGTAGTCTGCCTCTGTTTGTGGAGTCGCGAGCCCCTTTTATTTGGAATCACGAATTTTCGAAAATTTCTCTTACCTTCTCTAGGTGTGGTTACCGAAATCGATCTTTTAGAAAGAAAATTTATTAATGTTGTTATCTTGGACATTGTACTCGTTTATTAATTCCAGTTAATTCATTAATCCAAATAATTTTAAGGTTACTTAATATTTATCTTTGTAGTATTGAAAATTTCAAATTGAAATTGACATATTTGACAATAGTTAATAATCTTAATGTCAAGGCATAGAGTCATACATCAAATACATCACAGATTATTTTTGTTATTCTTTATCTATGTTAGTGCTGCGAAAATATTTTATCTTCATACTTTTTTTCTGCCTCCAGTTATATAGTTCTCTAAGGTAGTTTTATTCTTGTTCTTAGGTTCTATTTTAAAATTTATATTCAATCTGAGCTTTGACGGAAAATTGATTTGTACGTATATCTATAACTTTTATTTAAATCGTAAGATTGATAATATTGATATATATGAAAGCAATATAGTTTCATGTACTTACATAATTTAAAAAATTTAGGTGGAATAGTGAAAATAACAGATAATAATAATACCAGAGGGAGACTTTGTACAGAAGTCGATTGCTTGGGTACCTCTGTCCCATTCGTGTTTCAACCGTAAAGCAGTTGTGTTTGCATGGCTGTGTTTCGGTTTGAAAGGCGGGATATCACGTGAATTTACTGGGTACGGAGGAATAACACCTGAGTCCTCAGGAATGACAACGCATGGGGGTATCATGGGTGAAACAGTATACTCTGTTATGTTCATGGTACTGTTCATATCTATAGGCAACGGTTATCACTTTCTATCAGGTGAGCCGTCAGCTTGTTTGCCATACTAAGTTGAATAAAAAAAAACCATATTATCATAAAATAAGGGTTGGTGGCCTATCCTTGTAAATTTATCAGGAATTACCCACGATAATTCTTAAGAGTGTGTAAACTATTGTGAAACGAGACATTTCTAGAAATAAGCCTTTCCCTAACTAATCAAATTATATACTATATAATTAATATATATACTGTTTGATCTTGCACTTTCCGTCTTTGGAGATAAATTGGTGTAGTCGTTAGGGAAATAATAAAAATAACCAAACGGCTAGTCAGATTTGTATAATTTATAATGAAATGAATAAATTTAATTCTTATACCAAATTTTAATTTAAATAACACATAATATTTTGAAAAATACATTCTTTTCATAATTTTGTTGTATTTTGCTAGACAAATAAAACATTTTCTTAACACCTATATAGCCAACCCCTGTATAAAACAAACGGCAGTCGGATACGAAGCCAGTTCAATAACAAGTACAGTGAGCCAGCTACTGACTTTTGTGAGGTCTACTGAACTTGAAGACAACAACGATTACAGTGATATTTTACAATGATAATTTTATGACTAGTCTGTAGAGCACGTTAGTTTAATAGTACAATAATAAATTAAAAAAAAAAAAAATACAAAACAACCATAACTACTAGAGATTCGTTAGGAAACTACGGAGTCATCCAAACAAAGAAAAGAAAGAGACTGGCCAGAATAACTACGGGTATCGTGTCCGACTGTCTTTATATGAATATCTGATCAAAACACATAGACTTGGTATTAATTTTTGTGCTCTAATTGGATACCAATAATAAACCTAGGCTTATTCATAATTTTGTTGGCACTGCAATGTTTTAAGAAGTAGCACCTTTTTCTTTTTATGAAAGTTTGAAAACATAGTTAAATTTATTTTTATTAAGATTATTTTACTACAGTAAATAATATTTTAACAATTTGATGGTGCAAATCACTTACGATTATAGTTATAATATATAGGCGCTTTCAAAATTGGTGGCAAATATTTAAATATTATAAAAAAGTTACTAATTATTACACATGTCGGTTAAAATATTTATTCAGTATCAATTTATTTATTCAATTAATTAAGAATAGACAAGTAGGCACCTAAGTTAAATAATATTTAGTTAAAAAAGATCAGTGTTGCCACCTTTGATTACAATCTAAAAACGACTTTTTTGTCGTATTATTTTGAGCATTCGAAATGTAAACATCAGGCCACTGAAATAGCATCATAGAACAACAAACAAACAAAAAGAAACGAAACATATCCCCGGAAAGACATAACAAAATTTAATTTTATTGTCCAAGGGAATGTCACCTATATAAAACAAAATAATCACATATCATATTTTTTGCTATATCAGAATCATTAACACATACTTACACCATACATATTCAGACACAAAAACGTTATTTGTGCATTTATAAATACATTACTCCTTATGAAATATATCAAGGGGCCAAGAAAACAAATGAGTCTTGCTAGAATTATTCATATAAAATTTCCAACTACTTAAACCTGATAAAACTATTAATGTGTTATCACTTTCATTCTAATTATGTGTTCAGCTAGAGAGAAAGGGACGGAACACTGCCAATAGTTAAAATATAGGTTTATTAAATGTATGAAATTTTTATGAACAAGAAGGTAAATTTATTATATTTCATCCATTCAGGTCATGTATCCGTCGGTCTCTCGTCATGATGGTTACTCTCTAACTCTTCCAGAGTGTCGCTTGAGGAGTGTGTCATGTCGCTCATCTCGTCCATCTGCTTCTGTTTCTTCCTGACGTTCCAGTGTAGGCACTCGGCGAGTGAGTCAAACCAATCAGATATTTGGTCTTGTGCGCATATCGACGGCACCGGGTATACGGACGTCGTCACGTATAAACTGTTAAAGCAATCGTTTATATGTTAATATCGCGAACTAGACTGAAAATCACTAATTGGAAATATGTACCATTTATTTATTATATGTAATATATAGGTTACCATTCCATTTTCACCCATTAAAAATATATATATATATAAATTTTAGAGCGGTATTACGCATGTCTACCCGCAACTCATCGTTTCACTGCTGAGCATATGTCAGCTTTATTTCTTTTCTCTTGTGTAAATAGATTTCTTAAAAATACATGAACTGAAATAGCACGGTACGGTACGACTTTATCGTCGCGATATAATGGAAAAATAAATAAATAGGAAAATAAAGCGTATTCAATTGTATTAAGAACTATCTACATACAATTGCATATATGTTGCTTTTCTATTATATAGTAACGTTTTTCGCTGTCTAGGTCCCGGCATAGAATATGGCACCCACACAGTGGATGATGTAAGAGGTGACTAAGGGAATTTAATGAAATAACTAAATGATTTGAGGTATGTACACTATCAATTTATTGATAGTATATCCTTATTATGTGTGTGTGGTCCGCGCCGTGTGTTCCTGTCATAAAATGGGCCACCCCTTCCTTTCCCGTGGATGTCGTAAGAGGCGATTAAGGGAGGGCGAGGGATGGGCAGCAGCGTCCCTCTTAAAACATCACTAAAAGCTTAACTGCGGTTGCCAACCCACCTGCCAAGCGTGGCAACTACTGGCAAAACTTACCTTCTGGGAAAGACTTATGTTCAGCAGTGGACGATTGACAACTGATTAGATATAACATTTTGTTTCTTACTATAAGAAATTATAAAAGCACCACCACCTTATCTATTTACTGATGTCTCCTCCAATACATAGTAGTATTATTAATAAGTAATGAATAATAATATAAGCTGAAAGAAACGTGCAATAGAAGCGAATAGCAGCATACAAACATCTAGCATAAATTACATGCATACTCTTTAGAGAAAAAAAAAAAAAACATGGATTATTAGACGTTATAAAGAAATGAAATATCCTTTTAATAATACGAGCATATTGACGTTTGAGATTCGAATTTTAAATTATAAGTCTTTAATCCCGGTATAATTGAAAAACTTTTTAATCGATATTAGGGAATCGATATCGTATCGATAGTTCAACCTTCCGATTGTTACTGGTTCGATCCATGTACAATAGATTTCTATAATTCATAAAAATAAATATTGAAGTACTTTTTACATTTGTATAGTTAAAACACTGCTTAGTATATGAATCGATTTATTGATTAGATGCCGCGTGCATTCAGAACTTTAGAGTTCTGATTCGAAGACAAATTGGGCGGCGAACGGTATTATTGCGCATATGATATTCAAAACAATGTATTTTTGTTACGAATAAATAAATATATGAATGAATGAATTTACGTATTAGTGTTTATTAGACATAAATAATCCATGTTCTTTTGACTAAATTTATGATTCACCAAGTCGATATCGTTATTTACACCATCATTTTTTATGAATAACCGACCTTGAAACCTATACCAAAGAAAATAGGGTATAATTTTGTAATAATTCCGATACTTGCAGAAAATCAGCAGTAAATGAAATGGGTAAGACGGCCCACATTTAAAAAGAGAAGGCAATGTTTTGGTGGTTTCAATATCGCAACAGCGTAACTGAATATTAATGCTGTCTCTGTTAAAATGCATGTGATATAAAGAGATACAAGGCGTCATACGTGCCGAGTTTTGTACCGGCTTCCGTCAGTTGTTGGCGTGTTATTTTTTTTATTACCTATCGCCAGGACTGAGCGTCAACTGCGAACGGCCGTCGAATGAGACACTGGCCGGGGTACGAGCTTCTAGACTAGGTGTTATCTGAAACAATGCCTCATATCTCAACTAAATGATAATAATGATTTACTTTTATTCAATGACAAACGGTTACAACAAGGAGACAATTACAATATGACATAAAAACAAAGTGAAAGAACAAGTGAAAAAAAAAAATACTTTTTTACAAGGATTATAAGGTATACATAAGGACAGGGCTGGATAAATTATTTTGGGAAAATTGCTTTTAGGCAATAAGACCGATAATTGAATTGATTCTATTAAAAATATTTTACTAATGAAAATTATACTATGCCAGAATAGTATATGTTACATATCCCATGGGAATGAGGTAGGGTAAGAAGGTATACCATGGGAAATATTATACTGGACGCAAGGTGAATATACCGGTGAAGTGTGTAACGGTGATAGGATGGTTAAACCACTTATATACAATCTATTCTACATGAAAACTAAACACTAAATAAGACAAGCAGACTACAGAAGCGCAACAAAGCGTGCATGGCGGATTGTCGCATTGAATTCTACTGTTTCTCTTTGCTGTACCTATCTCCGTGCTGCAATGCCTGTCGATTTCTGCCGTCGAATGATACCCACATCGCGTTTCGTGCCTCCGGCGACAGAGCAATCTAGAATACCATGTACACTTTATACTTTTTCTAAGTGAAGAAATTTTAATATCCAGACATGACTGTCAAATTAGTAAAGTACTGTGACCAAAAATAATGACAGTTGTCAACGAACGGTTTAATAAATTTCCTGTAACTTAAAGTGGTAATTCTGTAAATAAAAAAAATATTTAAATACTAATTGACAAAACGAGGGATTAAGATTAATTCTGTCAATGTCAATCTCTAAATCAATTTTTAAAATGTAATAATTTACTTATTTAATACTTTATTGCACACTAATTATATATAAAGATATGACAAAGGTAATGAAATCTACAAAGGCGAGCTTAACACTACCACAAACTAACTAACACTAACACTTTTGATTTGCTGGAAGGGGATTGTTTTAGAAACAGTTCTCTTCCAGCAAACCGAAAGTGGAAAACAGTATCAAAGATATTCATCAATCAATAAAATAAAATTTACTAATCTTGAGATTAAGGACAATATTTCGGAATATAGAAGGGTAGGACAGATTTTGTTTTCTAAATTTAATTATTTTCAGATACAATTTTAGAGCTTGACATTTTAGAATTGAACTATCTAAATCAATTACATTCTTTATGTAAATATAATATTAAAACGTGATTCGTGCAAATTTATCTGGAAATGCAGGGTGTAATAGAATTTTAAATTTATGTATTTTTGATGTACTTGTTATTTGACTAAAGATAGCAACACTAACTGCGAGGTGCTACGTATTTACTAAATACTACTACATGATAATAAGATTCTTCAAAAATTAAAGAAAGCAGAGATTGAAATGACTTGAAAATTTTATCTAGAAATATGAAATCAGATTACTATTTAGTTACTTGTACTCGTAAAGTTTAGAATTTGGCATTTCATTATTAACATAATTAGTAATTGCAGTTCGCTATAAGATATTTTTTAGCCATTTAAAAATCTAGTCCTGCTCAATTTTAAAAAATTTTATAGGTCTATGTTGTGCCAATTCTGAATAGATTTATATATTTTTTTTAGCAAACGTCCACCAACAGACATATCCTTATTTGCCAGTTTTGTAAATAACAAAGTCATACATAAAATTACTTGATAATTGGAACATCTTTTCAGAGAGGGAACACTGTCAAATATGAAGTCGCATTTAAAATTTTTACATTTTCTTCAAGTTTCTCAATCAATTTATGGTATTTCTCTTGTAGATAATAAATATAATCTATTCTCTTCTATGTACCCACCTTGAGTTCGACGCCCGCAGGTACGACGATAGGCCTGAATGAGAGCGAATGGGGACAGATCGGGGTGACCATGATGGCTGGAACTGACGGGTGGATCATACTGGCGCCAGCTGCCACCGCGTACGCCGTGCTGCCGGTCGGGGTCGACACTATTAGACCTGGTTATACATACACACGTAATTAGTAAACTGCATGGACTGGAGGAAGGGATTGTTAATATTAAGGACTAGTAGCTATACTGCTAGTCAATATTCCCTGTCAAGTGGACCACCACGTGGTTCATCATAGTTAATTATAGACGAATTCGTCACGATGGGCCGACTAACCCTTGGAGGGTTTTGCCTTTAGTTGCCACGCTTAACAGGCGACAGGCGAATTAGCATCCGATTAATCAAGATGTTTTCCAGGGGGAACCACGAGGAGGTCGACCTTACTATATATATATATATATATATATCCTATATTGCTAGTAATGTAATAATTAGTAATGGAGCACTTAAACCTATAACCTTTCTCTCAATAAATCTGTGTTTGTCTGTCTGCTTAATTACAGTTATAAAGATATTTAATAATAAACAAAAATGAAAAGAAAAGCACTAAAATGGTGTCACTCGGCTATATGCCTTGTTCTTTTGAACATGATGCTGTATTAGTATAAAAAAATTCAAAAAGAGTATAAAATATATCCTTACCATCCCCCTGGACGGAGGTGATGTGTTTCCCGTCTAGAAACAGGTCTATATTGGAGAGGTACGGCGAGGGCCCGCGGTCCACCACCACCTCGTTGAGCACCAGTATCGTGGTGGGTTTCTTTTTGTCTTTGGTGAGGTCGTTACTCTTGCGAAGCACCACGCACTGCAGCCGCGAGCGGAGGGTCAGCGCCGCGTGTCCTGGAAACCAATAGATGACAAAAGTAGATTTTTTCTTAAAAAAGAAATACACACATCAATGATACTCTATTTCTATATCGTATAATAAAACATACACCAGATTTTAAGTTAGATTTTCAGGAATATAACTATGAAAATTGCTTTCAAGTAGATTTGCGTAATGCCGAAAGAAATATTGTCAGACAAAATGTCTAAAAATTATTGTTTCGGATTCTATAGTTCCTAATAAGACCCTTCATATCAATTATTCTTAAATATCTAATTCGTCATTTTTTTTTTATTATGTGACATCTTTGTCAATTCTAAAATGATTTTGGTTGTTTTTTTTTTTTGTGATATATCTCACCTTCTAAAACATTCATAACTTGTTCTTGGAAATTATTAAACTCGAAGGGTGTGAGGAAACCCAAGGAACCTAAGTGGAACGCCATCACAGGAGGGACTGATTGCTGAAAATAAAGAAATACTGTTATTAGCTATGGACATTTTTTTAATGGTTAACGTAACTTATTAACACTTACAATATTAGAGGTATTAACATTGGTGTATTTAGAAACATTTACCAGTAGGAGGGGGAGGGGAATGGGCACATAAAAAGGCGTTTACTTACTAAAAAAAGTACTCTTAGACATGATGTTTGTGAAGCTTCTATCGCATCCTGGAGTGAATACGATCCACCCGTCCCGCGGTACTATATATACCCTGAAGTTCTCATTGACTGACTGAGTTCTAACGAAGTATATAATATAGTACACATGCCGATCAACAATTTTCTCAGTGTGCTCTTTTCTTGTAATTTTTATCTTTATGATAAGTTCACTACTGCAATATTTTAGAGAGAGTAATAAAGAGTATATATACCTATAGGTATATTAATGAATACCTGGTAATGTGTTTTTTATTGGGTAGAAATGTAATGGTAGTTCCGACTGCTTTACAGCTATATGTTGTCATGATTGGTGAAAATGAAAGCAGGTTGGTTGGTCCATCGTAATGAATTCAAGAAGAATCAACTTTAGGCTTGGAGACCGACTTGATAGGGTCCTGGTAATGTCGTTTATACCAAGATATTTATTTTTATGCCTTCGGTTCAAAACGATCTAAAAGTTAGCTACTTACGGCTTAGTTTTATTCGATAGGGTTTTCAACTCACCTGAAATAGTGAACTGGCATGTAACAGCGTGCCGTCTCCTCCGAGGCATATAATGAAGTCAATCTTGTCTGTGAGATCATCGGTGCCAGCCCTGAACGTCATGAGTCGCTCCCGGACCGAGGTAAAGTCGCCATATTCCGCCAGAAGGGTGTCATCTAATACCGCCGCCTCCACAAACACTACCATGCTTTTATCCTGGAATCCAAATGTGAACAGATTAAAAATAATATAAACAAATCACGACTATCGTGCCTAATAGAATCAGAGCCATTTGTCGAATGCTGCTGTCGTATTTAACATTACATACACGCATTTTGTCGGGCTAATTCCAGGCTAGCGGGGCACCAGTGAGGGATGATAGATGAGAATGAAAAGGCGACATACTCGCATTTTGTCGAGCATATTTTTTGAATTAAAATATATTAAAATATATATACACTTAATACCTGATGGCATTCTCTACTAGTCAACTGTTACGCTAAACAGAGAGAGTAAATAGCGGTGCATTGGACTGAATTAATTTATAAATTCAACAAATATTTTGATAAATCACATAAAATACAATACAGATATAAATAACTATCATTTTTTTATATACCACTTAGAATGGCAAACAAGCTGACGGCCCACCTGATGGAAAGTGGTAACCGTCGCCTATTGACATAAGCAGTACCATGGATATAACAGACTATACTGTTTGATATGTTTGCTCATGATACCCCCCATGCGTTGGTGTTTCCACTCAGGTGTTATTCCTCTGTATCCAGTAAATTCACGCCATATCCCACCCTTCAAACCGAAACACAGCCATGCAAACACAACTGCTCCACGGTTGAAACACGAACAGAGACAGAGGTACTCAAGCAATCGACTTTTGTACAAAGTCTCCCTCTGGTATATAAGCGATACATATTAATATAATAAACTTATAAGTCGTGGCTTATTATGTAATTATAGAATAAAATGGTCATCAAAACCATAGTCTTCAAGATTGGCAACGTGTAACAAATGAGAGTATCATTGGGATTAGTTTATGATGTTCATGTCATGTTTATAGATAACTGTTACCATATTCCATCAGTTGGGCCGTTAGCTTGTTTGCCATTTTAAGTATCACAAAAAGGGACTTGAAAATAGTTAGGTGGTCACAACAAACTATAAATAGACATTAATTTCCGAGAACTTTCCACAACGGACCATGTCTAATAAGCTAATAGACGACAAACAGTTCCACCTTCCTGAACAGTAGGTAAACACGGTAAACACAACAGTGCTGATTCTCGATTGTTCCACGCTCATTAACATTACATGAGGTTATTGTATCGATCGACCGATTACTTATGGTAATGTTATTTTGACGTCAACAACGACTTATATTTAGATAAAGAGAAATATTATGACACGAGTTTACAAGTTGAATTTTTTCTTTGATGGACGATAATGGAACGGTAACCCCGCTTGCGCTATCAAATAGGTCCATAACCCTATAGTGACGAATTCATCACGAATTAACCACGATGGTTTACAAGACGGACCCCGTGGAGGTCGACTTGATAGTGTATATAGTAATCTTTTCTCCCCCAAACTTTGAGTTTGGAAGTTTAGAAGATGTTGTTCGAAGTCTGTTACATAAACAAAAAAAAACTCTGAATCGATTTTGACAAAAAATCCGATACTGATAAACAAGGGATAAACACTTTTAATTTAAAATAAGATTGTGTTTCACATAAAAAAAAAGAAAGAAACAATTGTGGCCAAATCAATTATTTTGATTTAAAACTAAACTATTAAACCGATTTTAATAAAATGAAAACAGATGACGCTGTATGGTATGTCCGATGATATTTTTTAATAAATATATTACTCACATGAACCAGCCAATGTACTAATTGCACGAAGGGTGTGAGGATTGTGGCGTCGTGGACTTTCTTGATGACCAAGACCGTCAGCGGCGGCTTGTACCAGGTCAGCCGCTGCGACGCTGGGTCCTGGATTTGCCTGGAATGCGACAAATATAATTTACGTGATAATTTTATAGAATATATTTTGTGTATCAAGTCAGTTTCAAATCCGTTTAATTGTGTGTGTAATTGAATTAATTTCATTGTGTGATAATTATGTAATACACATACAAAAGTAGTATATTATACGTTTCCGTTTTTATATGTATACATATATGTAGTAGTTTATTAACAGTATAGAAAAGTATCGATTTTACGTATGTCATTTTGCGTGGGTTGTTGTTTTAACCAGAAGAGCAATAACATAGCAGGTGCGGCAATTTGCACAACATATTTTACTATGAATAGCAACTACCCACCCAGTGGCACAGTATAGTCTGTGGTGTTCACAGTATTATTACTACTTTTCTCCTTCACACGCTAACGCACACACGCACACGTGCGTGCACACACAGTTTATCATAGTCAGATTATAATATTATTAGTACGGGACAAGCTCAGGAGCAAATCTTTTAGATTAAAAAAGGACCATTAAAATTAGTTGATCAGGTATTGCGTGAGCTACACACATAAATACACACAGTCGACTTGATAAACGCCCCCTTTTTAAAGTAGGTTGATTATAGATTTTTTTTAGAATAATTGCTTATTACGGAAGTATTTACACAAAAAGTAATGGCTGATTCTAATAACTTAAAGGTAAAACTGGTTAGTAGATGAGTGACGTGATGACGTCACTAAGATACTACGATTATGTGTCTTGTCATTATAGTCATTTACTCGTCTATTAAACAAACAAAAAATACCTGTACTTATATAAGCGATTTCCAAAAGAGGTAGTTCTCAATTCGTTCGAAATTTATTTTTATGGTTATGTTAAGCGATTATGTAACCATTTCTGAATCGACTATGATAATTATTTTTGCAATCAATAGGGTTTATTCAGATTTTGGTCCCATATTCATTTTGTGGCGACCATTTCTCTTAGTACGGCTAAACCCAATGGCGGACTAAGCCCATCAGAGATCAAGGGAAGTAAAGCTGAATAAGGTCTTCAGTTTAAGAAGTTAATGTAATTTTATAAGGTTTTTATTTAGTTTATATTTGTATGTATAAGTGTTTATGTTTATTTATTTAACATTTAAATTAGACTTAAATTAACATATATAGAACATGGATATAAATAAGGAAAACGGAGGCGTTTGGAGACTCCCTAGAACCAGAGGCCTGCGGCGGGCTGCCTCTTCCGCTCCCCTAGCTAAACCTTATTTGTTACCAAGCAAAATCAAGTTATAGACATGCAATTCCCCGTTCTAAATTCAAACATTTTCAATCTAACGTGTGTAAAAATATTTTGTATTTCATTGATGTGTTATAAAGCTATTGAGATTGTTAAAAAAATAAAAAAAAAGAGGAAATCTCTGTCGTATGATTAACTAGTGGTGAATTCTTTCAGGTCCGCATAATGACATGTAATTATATTGTTTTTATATTAAAATAAAGAAATAAATAGTTTTAAATAAAAAAATACTTAAAATTAAATATAGATTTAATATTTTAGAAACAAAATCAAGTATTTTTATATTTGGGTATTAAAATAATAAAAAAATTTTTGGCACTAGAACAAAAAATAAGATTCCTTTGGGTTTTATCTAAGATATCAGTGTATGTTTTCTTCAAATAACAATATACATAGTAATTTCTTTGACGTAATATTGTTTTGGATATTTGTAGCGAACACATGCGAATTTGTGATCACGTGTCTAAAACAAAATAGACAGTACATGATGTTGGTTAGTTCTCCAACTATAATCACAAAGATGCAACAAATTGATACGTGATTATAAACACGTTTTATGACTTGTCAATTTTGCACATTGTGCCAATGTATTAACATACCGTAAACACGTTTGGTGGATAATTACAGATGGCACGACAATAAAGATTGTGTCCAACAAAAAAACTACTTCAATTGTAGCAAAATTAGTTACTTTGGTCATAAACAGCTTTACCAGAGGGAGACTTTGTACAAAAGTCGATTGCTTGGGTACCTCTGTCCCATTCGTGTTTCAACCGTGAAGCAGTTGTGTTTGCATGGCTGTGTTTCGGTTTGAAGGGTGGGATATGGCGTGAATTTACAGGGTACAGAGGAATAACACCTGAGTCCTCAGGAATGGCAACGCATGGGGGGTATCATGGGCGAAACACTATACTCTGTTATGTCCATGCTACTGCTCATGTCTATAGGCGACGGTTACCACTTTCCATCAGGTGGGCCGTCAGCTTGTTTGCCATTCTAAGTTGTATAAAAAAAAAACTGATTTTGATAAAATTCTTAAGGAACCACTCTGTAAGTATATACTTTCAGATAAAAAAAATTCCAAATCGGTCGACAACTAACGGAGTTTTGAGGTAACAAACATAAAAAAAATCCGAATTAAGAACATCCTTCGTTTTGAAGTGAGTTAAAAAGTCAACAATCACGTAATTTCCGAAAAGAAAATTCCGCTACAATAGTTACCTAAAATATGGCATGCAGAAAAATATATTCAAACGATGACATAATTTCTATCAAAATTTTACGGTCTATTATTTCTGCATTTACTTTAGCTTTTTCCATGACTTTGTGTGACCAGGATTTGTTAATCGATTTGTAAATACAATAGTACGTGCATGTCTCCAAGAGAGCAACAAACAAACAAATTAACTTTTACACTTTATAATATTAGTAAAGGTATTTGTTATAATGTGAACTAATGGATCCGAGAGACGTTTTCAGTAACCCTATCAGAGCGCACTTACTGGGTTCAATTGTGAATTTAAAACATCCAGGGACTCACTCCAATAGACTTAAAAATTTATCTGGTTTTGATGGAATTTTTTGTGGAAAGTGGTTTCGGAGAAGTTTAATGGCACACATAGGTACAGAAGAATTTTATGTATTGGCATTTACCCGTAACTTCGACCGCGAAACAGGTCTTTCTTCATCATATATAATACATATATAGCAAATTTCATGACTATTGTGTATGCTTATAAGTGTGAAAAATAACATTGTTTTGTAAATATACATTTAATGATATACGAAGAATGAAAGGCGAATACACGTGGCGGAGATGCGAATGTTGAGATGGATGTGTAAGGTGACAAGGAATGACAGAATAAAAAATGAATATGTACGGGGAAGTTGCGAAGTAATAGACTTTCGTGGTATGGTCATGTCATGCGCGGAGATTAAAGCCATAATTTAAAGAAAGTTTTAGGTATGAAAGTGGATGGATGTAAAGAAACGGGACGACCGAAGAACAGGTGGATGGACTGTGTGAAAGATCATATGTATAAAAGAAGAGTGAGGTCAGAAATAACAGTTGACAGAGACTTGTAGAAGAAGACATACTACGCTGATTCCAAATAAATGAGAAAAGCAAAGCAATGATTATATACAATTCAGTCTAGTCATAATTTTGTTATTCAAAATAATAAATAAATGAAAAGTAACATTTATATAAAATATCCTAAAGTTACGTCACGTTATGTATAATATTCAATTGTATAGATACTCGTATTGTTAGGTTGTTTACATCTTTATTTTAAAATAATCTTACGTCTTCCAAAAACTGTACTTTGTAATTAATTTAATAAAATACCTATAACAATAAATTAACACGATCTCGACTGAAACCCAAAGTGGGGTAATCAAACTGCACAAACACCGCTACTCATGTGGTGAATGTAAATATATGGCCAATTTAGATGTCGTCACGGATAATAAAATTATAATGTTTATACACATGAAAATACTATCTACATAGGACAATACATTGTTAGACAAGTGGCAAAATTATCTATTAATAGATACATAATAGCTAGTGCGTGAATAGAATAGAACGTCAGGCGTTTCATTCTTTTTCACACGAGCGCTAACGAAAACATATCTATCGAAGGATATGTTTGAAATCAATGTTGTTTAAGGAAGGACGTATGCAGTTACGAATATTTGTCGCACTATTATGAATGACTACGTTCATTCCAGTGGATTAATTTTAGCGCTTTGCGCTGAGACCACTTAGATCTGATCTTGTATATAACTTTACCACCAAGTATTTTAATGGCCACATATGTCCTTCATAGCCTCACCGTATATAAAACAATTGTAGGTGGCATTCCGAATTCTAAGGACTTCGAAAAGGCTGAAGATCAAGTAGGTAATTCATCACTAATCTTAGGGCATCGCAAACATTTTAAACTTAGTTCACGTCGAAATGAAATAAAACAAGTTCCGAGCAAATATTATAGTACGTTATAAATACTTACATTACCATCGCCGAATTCTTCATTATTCTTCCACATGGTCCAAACTGTTGAATAGGAGACGGGGCGTTCAGGGATCTTGTTCTCCTGGTAACAAAACAGAAATCTATTTTAGTAAATTGAATATTTTACTAACACAATAGTAGAACAAAGTAGTTGTAAAAAGGAAGAACTGTGCAAAAGTAAAGATGGATGCTTGAGGTGGGATGACTGAATTGTTCTTAAGGCTATAACGTGTTGTAGACTTCAAATAGGAAAATACACTTATTTACTTATCTAACCGCTATTCAATATTTCAGACATATTAATTCTAGTTGTAATACTAAACTAGTTGTAAAACACGAAATAAAATATTATTTATTAACAAGTGTGTAAGACGTGTGCACGTGTTTATAAATAAGACTACTGTCAATCTGTTAATTTTGCATTTTCAGTTCATACAAGTTTAAAATAAAATATGCATAGTATGAAAATCACACAATATGTATACATTGTCGTGTAGTCCCGGCATCGAATGAGCTACCCTTTTCTTCCAAGTAGGTGTCGTAAGAGGCGTCTAAGGAAACTTAACGGTCGAGTGATGGACAGCTGCGTCCCTCTTAAAACATCACAAAAGCCTAAATGCGTTTGTCAACCCACAGTAGCAAATACTGGAAAACCCCCCTTATGGAGGAGGTCTATGGTGGTCTATCAGTGGTCAGTTAACGGATGATATGATGATGATGATGAGTACTTTAAAATACAGATAACTCTGGACGTTTCTTATTTCTAATATAATTTTTTGTCGGAAATAACAAGTAAGGATATGGAGGTATAACGCCATAGTCCTCAGTAATGGCAATGCGTGACCGGTACCATGGATATCAAATAGTATTTTGAACTGTTTATGGTGCTGCTCATGTCTATAAGCGATTGTTTCTATTTTTCAGTAGATGTTTGCCATTTTAAGTATCATAAATAATTAAATCAATGTAAAGTTATATGTTTCTACATACTTTGATGATAAATATATTTATACATTTTTTTTACATTTTAATTGTGTTTCACAAAAAAGAAAAATAACTTCAATCGTGGCAAAACCAGTTATTTTAAAATACCTGGTTTTACTACTAAACCGATTTTGATAAAATTTCTATAGAACTAATCTGTAAGTAGATTTCAAAATAAAAAAAGATTTTTCATATCGGTTTACAACTGACTGAGTTATGAGGTAACACACAAAAAAAAAACAACCGAATTTAGAACCTTCTTTTTTTAAAAGTCGGTTGAAAAATAAAAATCACCTGAACTGTTAAAGAGAGCCATGACAGAATACGATCAACACAAGTTAACAGACACGAGCTTGACCGCGGCGTACGACCAACTGACTATGTAAATGGTGCGTCCGTCCACAATTAAGTAAATTCATGCATTATACAATAATTTACGTGTGTAAAAAAGATACCTATCTACATGATGTATAAAATTGTAGTAGGTAAAATAATAATAAAATAAATAAATAAAAATCCTTTAACTGTACTTATTTTCACATGATTATGAAAACGACAAAAAAAATTTTTTTTTTAATACAACTTAGAATGGCAAACAAGCTGACGGCCTACCTGATGGAAAGTGGTAACCGTCGCCTATAGACATGAGCAGTTTTATGTTATTTATGTTGTGGAACATCTGGTAGTAGTAGTGGTGGTCAATCTTCGAGTGTTGGCTGTCATACATATACTGAGGATAGCGGACTTGAACAAAATAATTCTAAACAAATAATCTGTTTTTAGAAAGAAATTCATTTTGATTTTCTTAAAATGTTCACGTTAAATGTATATTTTAACTCTAATTTACGTTACGTTACTTGAATAATACAAATAGAGACCTTACAAAAGTGTTGTAAATACAGATGGGCAAAGCACCGGGTTTAAACCCGGTGCTTTGGTAAAAACCCAATAAACACCCATAAACTCCCATAATCACCCAAAAAAATAGGTTTTTACGTATTTTTTTGAAAATATGTAAGTAATACCAATAAATTATTTTTATAAATTGTATTGATCAATTCTACAATATTAAATAAAACGTTAACTAATAATATTTCAGGAAATTTTAAAAATCTATATATAATAAAATGAAAGTAATTAATTTTCAGTGTTTTCATGTTGCAGTTGATCAACATGTTGGCCTTTGCTTCCCGTAGATACTTTAAAATTTCTTCATAACACCTCGTTCGCACACATGGCCGTATATATTTAAATTCTTGAGCCACTAACAGTCCGAAATACTCATTTCTTTTATCCTCTTCTCCATAAATTAAGCATTTAGAACAGTTTGTTTCTTCTTTCAGTAAATTTTCTTTTACTTTATCCTCGTTTTTTTCTTTGTTGCGACGACGCTGGGTAAATCATCTGGACACTGGGTCTCACTATCGCCAAATATATTTGGAGATCGGCTTCGGCTACGGCTTGGCAGACATTTTTTTCTTTCTACAATTTTAAATTAAATTTATTAGAATAAATGCTTCGAACACACGCGATCTAAGTACCTTTTGTGTTTATTATACCTTACCTACCTAGGTATAAAAAGAGTACTTACGTAGATTTTCTTTTATTAACTGTTTTATACGAAGATCTTGATCTCTCAAATTAGCATCCATTTTACTTCCAGTGATTATCAACTAAATTAATAATCCACAAAGTATTAAATAACGTTTTTATGAAATATTTAGCACAAAAACAATACCCTTTAAATATCGATCGTCAGTAACTGTGGCTGACTTACCTATATTCTAGCAAGCAGGACTGCCAGATGTGAAGGGGAAATCCCCAATAAATTGTTGCATGTGACTGATGATGTGAGCATGTTCGTTTCATAATAAAAATGTTGCCAGGTAACCAAAAAGTCGTATGTTTTTGTGCGAATTACGATCATAATCTTTACGATCGTACATTAAAAAATAGACAAATAATAGTATGAGTACGATTTAAATCGTATATCTGTCAACCCTGCTAGCAAGACAGCGACAAAATCACGTTGCATAACAATGTAGCCCAAGCTTATATCTTATGAAATATACGGAAGAGATACGGACTTAGAAAAAACAGAAATGTTGTTCTTTGTGGAAGTCATTGATGAAATTCTATGTATTTTAGCCCGCAAACTTTCTTCAAACAAAAACAGCGCCATCTAGTATCGAGTTCTGTAATTATCTCTTTGTTTATGGATTTGAAGTAAGACCGCCACGCATGCAATACATTATGACTGGGGATTCCCCTATTCGTCGACGCTGAATATGAGGCGACGACAATCACTGTCAAACGTGTTCACTATTACTCTGACTCTGGTAACGTGACTTCCTGGTAACGTGTTAGGTAGGAAAAGCAGTAAAAAAGTGCATATTAATGGAGCAGATTTGAAATAATATTTATACTTAACAAGAAATAATTAAAGGTAAGTGGATTTTTGAATGATACAATTATATCATGATCACTTAACAATTTTAACTTAAAATTAGATGTATTATTACAAGCTTTTATTTAGCTTGCGTTATGTAAATAAAAGTATGTAGGTATGTTCGTATGTTGATGCAATTATCCTCAATCCTCAACCGACTGGGATAAAATTTTCCATACACGTTTATTTTGGATGATAGTGCATAGTTAGCTGAGAGTCGTCATTGGATAATAATGGTGGATAGCCTAAGATGTGTACTAGATATTTATTTTTAACATAATATGCGTAAGTACCTAATCGAATTAAAGAAGTTGCTGAGAAAAATACAGAACAATACGATAATAAACTAGCGTCTGCGTTTAATCCTCCGAGGAGATGTAATTTTACAAAGGTTTTTTGTATTTATTTTATTATTTTTTTAATAAATTTATTGTAAATAACAAGAAATAATCATTGTAAAAAAATAGGCACTCTATTGTTGAATTTTCGTCAGACCAACTAATCATCGTTCATTTTTTTAGGTTCAATGGGGAGACCTAAAGATTTACGCATATGGGAGCACTACCGTACTTTACCAAACAAGTCTGTTTCTTGCAAGCTTTGTAATAAGGTCTACAAATTCAGTAATGCTGCCAAAATGCTTCAACATCTTATCACTTGTCCAAAATCTCCAGAAACATTAAAAGACTCTATGAAACTTATAAAAGATAGCTCGTCCAAAACCAAAATGTCTGGACTGTCAGAGATAGAGACAAATGATTCTTTTATAAGCCCCTCGTCGTCTGCTAACACTACAATAAATGCTGAGTTTCAAGACACCGATGATCATATAAAAACAGAATTAGCGAGAGCTATATTTGTAACAGGGACGCCATTATCGATGGTGCAACATCCTTTATGGATACAATTTTTCGAAAAATTGCAACCAAAATTTAAAATACCTTCACGTAAAGCTTTAGCGACAAAATACTTAGATAAAATATATAGAGAAATGCGTTTTGAGTTAAATGAGGAACTAAATGCTTGTAGTTACTTACACCTTCAGTGCGATGGCTGGTCTAATTTAAGAAATGAAGGAATAATAAACTTTCTTATATCAAAACCTCAACCTGCATACGTTAAAAGTTTGAATACAGAAAGTAATCCTCACACTAGTGAATACCTTAGCCAAGAAGTTGAAAAAGTAATGAAAGTGTATGGAGCAAATAAGTTTCTTGTACTTATTGGCGATAACGCTAGAAATATACAAAAGGCATTCGAATTAACAAAACTCAAATATCCACATGTTGTTCCTCTCGGTTGCTGTGCACATATCCTTAACTTGTTGTGCCAAGATATTGTAAAGATACAAGAAGGAACTGTGTTTATTATGCAAGCCATAAATATAATAAAAACTGTTAAAAGGAGTCAACGATTAAGTTCCTTGTTGATAAAATCAAGGCAGGGTGAAGATTCTACACAAACACTAAAATTGCCTTGTGCTACAAGATGGGGAAGTCATGTTACTTCGTTAAAAAGTTTGAAAGCAAATAAGATAGCTTTGCAAATATTAACAGTTAGAGAAGATGTGGTAATTTCAAGAGATATTAAAGATTTAATTCTAAGTGATGATTTCTGGACGAAGACAGGGGAATGTATAAGTATTTTGGAACCAGTCACTGAAAGCATATTTTACTTAGAGAGCGACCAGAATCGTTTGCATCGCACATACGAGGTCTGTCCGGAAAGTTCGTATAAAAGTGTTCTGGAATGCGAGAAAGAGGAGTGGGGAGGCCAGGTAAGCGCAGGACCCCTTCCTTATGTCCCTAACAATGCTTCAGTTCTGGTCTGACCGCCGTGCGGTGTCGACTTGTCACGCCATCTGTGAAGTTACCTCTTAACGAAACCCCGTCGGCATGGAGCCCGCTTCCGTTGAAGAGCAGCGCGTCGTAATCAAGTTTCTCTCGAAACTCGGCAAGAATGGCCGTGAAATTTTTGCCGATCTCAGAACAGTTTATGGGGATGATGCTGTGAAGGAACCAACCGTCCACAAGTGGCTAAAAAGATTCAGAGAGGGCCGAGAAAGAGTTCGATGTTCGGGGGATTGTCCATCAAGAATTCGTCCCTCCAGGCCAGACAGTTGATGGAAAATTCTACGTCGATGTGCTCAGACGCCTCAAAGCTCGTGTGGCACGAGTTCGTCCAGAATTGGTGCGAGAGGGGCGTTGGATTCTTCACCACGACAATGCCCCTGCCCACACCTCTCTTGTTGTCCGTGAGTTTTTGAGTAAAAATTCCATTACGGTGACCGAACACCCCCCCCCCCCCCCTATTCGCCGGATTTGGCCCCGTGTGACTTCTTCTTGTTCCCAAAAATAAATTGGTACTTCGGGGGCGGCATTTGGGGGACATAAATGAGATAAAAAAAGCTACGACGGGGCAGCTGAGAAACCTACAACCAGAGGACTTTCAAGGAGCCTTCTCACAGTGGAAACGGCGTTGGCACAAGTGCATTATGTCACAGGGGGAGTACTTTGAAGGGGATAAAATTGATTTACCTGAATAATTGTAAAATAAAATTTTTAAAAAACTTTTATACGTACTTTCCGGACAAACCTCGTACATTACATTTAGAGATGTACAAGCTAAGATACGTTTTGCATTAAATGAGATTTCGACATTGAGCGAAGAAAGCAAACAGCAGATTCTAACATCAGTATCTTCAAGATGCAATATGGCAATGAGGCCAATACATTTTGCAGCATATATTCTAGACCCCAGGACTCTAGGAGTCGAACTTACTCAAGAGGAAGAACTTAAGGGTATGGAGTTTATCTACAATTTAAGCCAACACTTAAGTTTGTCAAATGTAATGGCAGATTTGGCGTGTTATAAAGCTAAAGAAAACTTTTGGGCCAGAGGATTTGTATGGAGCTCATTAGATAGCATTGAGCCCCTAATATGGTGGAAAGGTATTTGTGGTTCCACTGAGTTAAGCAAAGTAGCGATTCGTATTCTATCAGCTCCCTGTACTTCGGCAGCCACTGAGCGTTCCTTTAGTATCCAAGGCTACATACATAATAACAAAAGAAATCGACTTACAACTGAAAGAACTGAAAAAATTTCATTCATTTGTTATAACTGGAATCTTAAACATAAAGCTGAATGCGAGGACATTCAGTTTAATGAAGAAAATACCTTAGAAGCTTTCATTGAGCAAGTAAATGAACATAACAGTTTAGACGAAATAGAGCCTATCGAACCTATACAATTCATCGCTTGTAATAACTCTGAATCTGACAGTGATTGACTGTAGTTTTACATTTTACTTTCATCTCTTTCTTAATAAACTCAAAATCAAATTAAAAGTTTTTATTCTGTAGGCTGCATAATAATATTGTCTATGTCCAGTATAGTGGACGTCTTGCGGCTGAGATGACGATGATGAAGTACAAAATCATAAACACCCAAAAATTTGGGTGTTTATGGGGTTTAAACTTGAATAAACCCAAAACACCCGGTTTTTACCCACCAGACTTTAAACCCACCCAGGTGGATTGCCCATCTCTAGTTGTAAACAAACAAATTACTAGACACCACAAAAGCATAGCTAAACTATTTTTAACATAACAGAAGCACACTGTATATAGAAATATAAAACAATACACATTAAATACAATAGGTATCTACCACAGTGACCCCGTCAACCTTAGATGCGAGCAAAACACTGTCCGTCTTACTAAAAAAATATCGTTTTAGACTACCTTTTTAAATAATGTTTTACTAAACTCTGTTTTTGCGATTAAAAATTGGTGTAATAATGTTCATTGAAGAAGAAAGAATTATTTTTATTCACGTAAACTTTAATTTAAGCATTGTTGAACAGTCATTTTTTACGATTCTACCGCTCATTCGGAATGCAATATCAGGTAAGAAGAATCAACAAGAAAGCTGTTTCTTTTTTCAAAAACTTGGATTTTATAAATTATGGAATTTGTGTGAATATGAAATACTAAGCAGTACCAGATCGCATAAATTATTATATAAGTATTAACATATAAATTGCACTAGAATAAATTTATAAATTAAATCAGTTACAGTGCATAGAGCAGACCAGATCCTAGGACAGGACCTGTTCACGGGCTGACCGATGAGCCTGCTATTATGCTCAACCATATTTTGGAGAACTCCATAACCCGGCCCATTGTTGGGAAGGAGGTGTCGTTAGTAGTGGTGAGGTTAGTCTACATTGCTAACAATATATCCTGTCAGGTCGATCTCCACGCGGTCCCCCTCTGACAACTATCATAGTTATTTACTAGTAAATTCGCCACGATACCGGATGGGTTAACTCCCCTGATTTCATCCTTACCTATCATCATTTACTGGTGCTCCATTAGCGTATATCTATTGGTAGCTGGTAAAAATCCAGCCTATCACGCCACCACCTGTCTGGACATTTTAATGAGCATGACTTACTCAAGACAACCAACTACTTTAATAATAATAATAATAATTCTTTATTATCAGGTACTTAGCCCATAGAGGTACAATTGTATTACAACGTGCACGGATAACATATAAAAATATAACAATCAAAACATACAAAAAGAAAAACATAAAAATTAAAATATATGTAGAAAATTTATAATTTATAAAAAATAAAGTAAATTAAATAATAATATAGCAAGAAGCAAGAGAACATTATTTAACGTTCCTGTCTTGGTGCACGGACAACCAATACTTTTGAATGGGACTGTTCAGACACTGGGATACTGTGCTGAGGATTTCATTCTTTGAACTCCGAATGTGAGCCCAGAAATTTGCTACACGATTTCTTATTATAGCGAAGTAATCATTCACCCTGGACTCCGCAAACATGCCCGACGCACTACAGTATTTCGGAAGCCTCATCAAAATGCGGTATGCATTATTATACTGCACTCTAATGCTGTTCCGCGCACTTTTGGTGCAATTTGTCCAAAGCTGACATGTATAGAAACATTGACAAAATGCTCGAAACAATGTCAACTTCACATCTGGACTGCAACGGGCGAACCTTCGCGCGAGCATGTTGCAACGGACGGCCAGGGCCCTTCGTTCTCGTTCCACATCTCCGTCATCGCGAAGATCCTCTGTCACGATATGTCCCAAGTATCTGAACCGACCCACTCTTTCCACTGCAGCGCCGTCTATAAAAACTGGCGGGATTCTCTCCGGTCCTCTCCCAGACCGAAATACCATCATTTGTGTTTTTTTTACATTGTATTTCAGTCCATGACTCGATGCATAACGTTCACAAATTGCTAACAATTTTCTTAGTCCACTGATAGAGGGACTAAGAAGAACCATATCGTCAGCGTAGCTTATACTATTTAAACAAGTAGTTCCAATATGACAGCCTACTTTGGCGCTCCTTAGTTCCCCTATCAGGTCATTTACATATAAATTAAAGAGGTCCGGTGAGGTCAGCCCTCCTTGACGAACTCCGCACTCTAGTCTATACTCACTAGAGGTGGTGCTGCCCCATTTTACAAAATTCGTCTGTCTACAGTACCAGACCCTCAACAGATTAATAATTCTGTTTGGTACAGCTGATAAATTTAGTTTCTCCCACAATAAATCATAATTTACCAGGTCGAAAGCTCGACTTAAGTCTAAAAAACACGCGTAAACTGACGTACTTCTTTCGACATAATAGTGAACGGCCGATTTAAAACAAAATATAGCTGAATCTGTCGAGAGTCCAGGCCTGAAGCCAAACTGCGCATCATCTATTTTCATACTACGCTGCAGTTCTGGCTGAATTAATCTTTCGAGTATCTTACCAATAATTGTACCTAATGATATGGGTCTATAATTGTTAATATTCGAAGGGTCACTAGTTATTATGGCATATATATCGCCGTGTGTATCTCGTCATAAAATAGGCCACCATTTTCTTTCCTGTGGGTGGCGAAAAAGATGACTAAAGGAGGACGAGGGGTGGGCAGCAGCGTTTTTCTTAAAACATCTCTAAAAGCTAAATTGCGGTTGCCAACCCGCCTGCCAAGCGTGACAATTATTGGCAAAACTCCCCTATGGGGAAGGCTTATTTATGTTCAGTAGTGGACAGTTAATGGCTGAAATAATAAAAATATATATATATATATATATCTAAGAGTGGTCCATCAGGTGGACTGTCAGCTTGTTTGCCACTCAAAGTTGCATAACAAAAATTTTAATCACTTATTGATCAATCATTAATTGATTGTTAAATTAATATTAATGGTTAAATTAATATTAATTGTTAAATTAACGCATTCATAATGATTCCAATACAGCCATTTGCAAATAGCTCAAGATTTTGAAATGTCAAAGTTGCGCCCATTAAGAACTAATGTTTTTACATAACTTTCTTAAAAGAGCAGATACACTGTTTTACGAATAAATTCAAATACTTATTTACGAATACAATTAAATAAATTTTTTAAATCTACTGCAGGGTTGAGAAAGTTGTTATCTGCTGAGAAGATCTCGCAAAAAACTCAAGTTACTCTTTGAAATCTCTGTTAATATATGCATATATAAGTACACATATATTTATTTAAATATACTATGTCTAACATGGTCATTAAAGTTGTTATTTGGCTAGTTTTATTCTTATAATGGAATTCCACATTAATAAGGATGGAGGACTGGTTCCTGCACCGGGGGTTCTGAAACGACCAATTTGATGATTCGTAATACGAGATCTACTTTATTTTTTCAATTTTTGTTTTGTTCAAGTCTGTTAAAAGCATTCTAAAAATATCTTTTCGTTGCTCGACTGCATAATTAAATTTTGTATCGTGGTCTTTTTGTCGAAACGTACCCGGTTCCATTTCTGTTTTTTT